CTCAGTCAGAAACAAAAAAAAAAAAAAAAAAAAAAAAAAAAAAAAAAAAAAACAAAGAAGAAGAAGAAGTGGTCTTCTAGAACTAAGTGTTCTGGGGCTGCACAGTGACCTCACATGGAGCTACAGCATCAACATGGGCAGCAGCTGGCGAGTCCCTGACCTCAGTGAGATCCTCCTTGGTGAGCACAAACCATCCCCCAACCACTCCCAGACACAAGGCAAGCGTTTCTCCAGAGCTGGGCTGTTTTCCAGATACCCCCAATGGTGTTTCCCTCAGGATGTTCTTGTCCATTGGCACCATAGCTGTCCTTCGGAGGTCCATGCAGATCTGCTTAGAGCACTGAAGCATTTTAGATAGTCATCGCAAAGCTTAACAATCTTTCTTCCATGTGTAGGTATGAGTGTCTGCATGTGGGTATGCGCACACGAATGCAGCTGTTCAGGGACACAGGAGCCACCAAACCCCACGAGTTGGAGTTAACAGAGGGCTGTGAGTGCCAGATGCAGACGCTGGGAACTGCACGTGGGCCCTCTAGAAGAGCAAGTGTCTTTCTTGTGAACTGAGCCACCATTCCATCGGTCCAGGCTGACCATCTTCCCTGGGCATGATGGCAGGGCACTGATTGGTCAGTGATTGCTAGGTCGTGTTCAAAGACAATGTCCAACTGCTGAGCTGTTGCTTTCTTTGTTTTAATCATAACGGTGGTTAGCTGCAAGCTGCTTTACTTCATCACTGTTCAGACTTCAGTCTGCCTTTCCCCCAGTGACCTATAACTTACACGCTACAACATACACCTTATATTTATGTAAGGTTTGTGTTTGTTTGTTTCTACTTTTTTTTTAAAGATTTTATTTATTTTATATACAACATTCTGCTTCCATGTATATCTGCACACCAGAAGAGGGCACCAGATCTCATAACGAATGGTTGTGAGCCACCATGTGGTTGCTGGGAATTGAATTCAGGACCTATGGAAGAGCAGTCAGTGCTCTTAACCTCTGAGCCATCTCTCCAGCCCCTGTTTCTACTTTTATTTTCCTTTCTGGGCTAGCTGGAATTGACAGCAAACCTCCTGCCCCTGCCTCCCAAGTGCTAGGATTACATGCTTGAGTCATGACACCTAAGTAACACTCACCATTTTAAAAGCATATAATCCAGTCAGTTTTAGTGCATTTCAGAAAAACCAGACCTTACTAAAACAAGCTTCATTAAAAGTGAGAATAGCAAGCTGGGTATGGTAATGAAAGCCGGTGGTCCCAACAATTTGGGAGGTGAGGACAGAAGAATCAGGAACACAGGGTCATCCTCAAAAACAGAACAGTTCAATGCCAGCCTGCACTGGATCCATGAGATCTGTCAAAAGACCATCACCCCTCCACCACAGAGTCATCCACAGACCTGACAGAGTGGCGGGATTCTGTAACCCTGCCAGTAACCTACAAAGCCAAGAAAGTCCTTTAGTATGCATCCCTTCCCTGCCCTTGGCTGGGGCACCCTGTACAACTGACCTTTGGTCGAACTCCTAGAAAGCCACTGCAGTTATCTGATCCACAGTGGCACACTGTCCTGCCGTTGCCCAGACAGTCCAAGTTATAATTAAATGTTAACTCCATCCCTAAAACACAAGAGAAATAATCATTCACAGTGACATCACGAGGAAGAGACACTGCCAGACACGGGCATGTCCAACACATGGCTCTAACACAAAGACTTGTCCCAGACAGGCAAGATTGCTCAGGTGGAAGTACTTGCCATGCAAGCCTGACACCATGAGTTTGATTCAGACACCCTGGTGGAAGAGCAGAGCCTAATCCCAAAATTCGTTATCTGTCCTCATGAGCACTTACGTATACACACATCATACAGACATACCAAAAAGAATATAAGTTTAAAGACTTCTTCCTTCCATATTCTATCTTACCAAAAAACAATGGTAGAAAAGTGGAGACGTGGCTGACATCCCTGCCCAACAACGAGTATGGAAAAGCTAAATATTCTAAGCACAAGACATACCCTTTTACAAAAGTGGTTAAAATAATGAACATGTGATCTACGATCAAGAAGGGCTTCTAGCCTAGGCTTCCTTTAAAGCTGAAATCTAGTTTGGTTTGTTTTGTTCTGTTTTTCAAGACAGGGTTTCTCTATGTAGCCCTGACTATCCTGGAACTTACTTTGTAGACCAGGCTGGTCTTGAATTCACAGAGATCCACCAGCCTCTGCCTCCTGAGTGCTGGGATCAAAGGTGTGCGCCACCACTGCACTCTAGTTTCTAAATGAACAACATGACATGGCATCGTGACCGTGTTAGGAAAGCCTTCCACTATGAACCAATACCTGTTCACAACTCAAGTTCACTACATATGTGACAGCTCTGGGGATCCAAATTGAAGCCCCTTAACACTCTTTCAGCCAGGTGTGAACAACCCAGAGTCTAGAAAGAGCTTCAGTTTGTCCTCAGTACTCAATTGCTCTTACCAATTCCCTAAGCCTTAGGAGACACTAAAGGCTCCGTTGAGAAGCTAAGAAGGGAACAAGAATGAAAGCTCCCTGTCTATTGGGAGACAGAATGGCTTTTCAGAGCTGAAAACCAAAGAAAAGAAACCAGCAGATGTTGATACAAGCAAATTACTTTTTATAAAAAGATTTGACTTTCATTATTTTTAATTATGTGCATGTGCGAGTGTGGGTGGTGCCTTTAGAAGCTAGAGACCTGTTTGACCCCCTGTAGCTGGAGTGCAAGCAGTTGTGAGCCACCCTACACAGATGCTGGGAATTGAACTTGGGTCCTCTGCAAAAGGACTTAACTGCCGAGCCATCTCTCCAGTCGACACAAGCTAGTTACTTTTTTTTTTGGTTTTTCGAGACAGGATTTCTCAGTAGCCATGGAGCTCGCTCTGTAGATCAGGCTGGCCTCAAAGTCACAGAGATCTGCCTGCCTCTGCCTTCCGAGTGCTGGGATCAAAGGCGAGCGCCACCACCGCCCGTAAGCTACTTGGTTACTTTTGGTATGTGTTAAGAGGACAGAGCTAGGCCATTTGGTTACATCATACAGACAGCAGTATTTTGGGAAAGTTGTGCTTATGAACTGGAAGTAGTAACACACTGGTACACACACACACACATCCCAGGATCCTCTTCTGCACAAAGGCCTACTGGTACTTTCTCTCTTCGAATGCAGTTTAATAGCACTGATAAATAACACCGAGTTCCAAACAGAGCATACTGTCTTATCTGAATCAACACTCGGATGCCAAGACTTAAAGGATAATGTCCTCCCTGACAAAACAGACATCCCCCACAGAGGGAGCCAGTACAGCAAGTTGCCCTTTACCTGCAGGGATATCGCAAATAGCAAACAGTCCAACTCGAACATCTCCATTTACTGTCCACTTCTGTGTCTCACAGTTTGGATTACAGCTGTGGTTCATGAAACGAGAATAATTTCCTTTTGGTCCAGCATCAATTATTCGGTCCTTCAGAAAGGGGAGGGAAAAGGGGGGGGGATACTTAGGACATAAACTAAATACAAGCCCATTTAGAAATACACATTATTTATTATCAGCTGGCAACGGGCAGTTCTGAAGACACAGCAGCCACCCTCTGTGTAGTTGCTGTTTGATGGCCTTAGATTTTTAAAGCTTCTAACTAGACACTGCATAGAATGGTGTGATGGTGGTGGCCTAATAAATATAGGGTCAGCAGGCCACATGTCCAGGTAGTTTTGATAAGTACTACACCATTTGGATAGCCAACTACTCAATTATTTTGTTCTCAGTTTTTCTTTCCCGCTCTAAGCAAGAAGTGAAACTGTGGTGGACAGACGAGTGAACACCATGCAGATGGGGAAGGGGGCTGGGACTCCCCCAAAGAGGATGTGGAGACGCACTGTCTCTCTGCTCTCACGAGGGGTATACTTTCCAGTCACCACCTACTTTATTTTCATTTACATTGTTCAACACACAGAAAACACTAGACAGTTGGCCCCCTCAGTTTGGACTCTAACAATGTGGATAAGCCCCAAGCCTGAAGCTCTAGGATGTCACGATGGCTGACCTGAAATCAGTGAGACTGGGATTCAAAGAGGCAGACTACAGCATGAAATGGCAGTTGAAGTTATGCTCATGAAACACATGAAAGCTGTAAAATCTTCAAATAATGACATAACTACTACATATTGTTAAAAGTACTTTCAAAATAATCTTTTTTTTTTTTTTTTTTTTTTTTTTTTTTTGAGACAGGGTCTTACAATGCAGCTCTGGCTGGTGTGGAACTTACTATGTAGACCAGGCAGCTCCACCTGCCTCTGCCTTGAACGTGCTGGGATTAAAGGCGTGTGCTACCATGCCCAGCAATCTCTTTTATTGTTTCTTGTTTTTGCTTGTGATGAGGCTCAAACCCACAGCCTCACATGTGTCCAGTACATGCTTTACCATGGAGCCATGACCTCAACCTGAATGACATTCTGAATCTTTTAGAAACACCCCAGAACACAGGGAACACAGGTACTAGTCTTGATTCTTAAGTGTGACAGTATACTAAACAAATGACCGAAATGTACCTTGCCCTGGGTTTCCCTTCCCCTGTGGATTACTACAATAATTGAGGTCATGGCTGCAATGCAATGGGCAAATGCATATCGCTCTAATGCTTACATACATCTTGGCTTCTTTTGTTCCTTTTTGTGTGTTTGTCTGTTTTATTTAGACAGGATCTCCCCCTCCCCAACAAGGGGTTTCTCTGTGTAGCAGCCCTGACTGTCCTACAACTCACTCTATAGACCAGGCTGGCCTAGAACCCACAGAAATCCACCTGCCTCCAAGTGCTAGGATTAAAGGGTGTACCACCACCACCTGGCTAGACAAGATCTTATGCAGCCCAGGGTGGCCTCTAACTTAAATTTCTGATTCTCATGCCTTACCTTCCCAAATGCTGGAAGTATAGGTATGTGCTATGATGCCTGGCTAAAGTTTTATTTAAATTAGTAGTTTACTGCCATTTTTCTTATGATAACATTCATTATTTTCTGTGTATGAGTGTACTGCCTGCATGGATTCATGTGTGTCACATTGTTTGCCTGGTGCCTTTGGAGATAAGAGAGCACCAGATCCCCTGGAACTGACATTAGACTACTGGAAGCCAGCATGTGGGTGTCAGGAACTGAACCCAGGTTGTCTTCAAGAATAACAAACGCTCTCAACCACTAAGTCATTTCTCCAACCCTGCTATCATTTCCTTTTAAAAAGCTAAATAAACACACAGAAACTTTTTGAGTTCTGGCTAATCAGAAATTTCAAGGTATTTTATGACTCAGAATCAGAGTGGATTCCTCTGACAGTGATAAAGAAACCAGTTCTCTCACTGACTCAGATCTGGGATTAGGACCCAACAACGGAAGCCCAGACACAGTCTCCTTATCTCTGACTAGCATATCCCTCTTGCCGTAGTCTCATGACTATGGGGAGGTTCCTTCTGTACTCCTGAAAGAATTACAGCACTGAGTACTGAAAATCATATATTATACTTAGAGAAAATGAAGAGAAAACTGGGTTCAACATAATATTATGAACAAAACATAAAGTTCCTTTTTCTCACCAAAAAATAAAAGCAATTTTACCTTGGTAACAGTTAACATATAAAAATTAGTTACACTGTTCTCGTGTGCTCGCTTGATTCGAAGTCTGCATTCTTCTTCATCAATTAATTCACCAACATATTCATTTACAAATTCACCCTGCAGAGAGGCATTTAATACGGAACTGTAAAATCCATGCACTATACTGTAATGAATTTTTTAACACCACATGTATGAATTGAAAAGAAAAGAGTAGCCAGTGCTCTTACACTGCTTCCACCAAGCACCTCAGTGTCAAGTGTATGTGCATCTGCCTCAAAAAGGAAAAAAGAAGGCTGAGGGCTGGGGATGTAATGCGATTAGCAGAGTCCTTGTCTAGTTTGTACAAGGCCATGGGTTCAATCCCCAACAGCGCATAAACTCCGTGTGGCAGCACATGCTATAATCCTAGCACATGGAAGGTATAGATAGGACATGTTGATATCTAGTCCAGTCTGGGGCACATGAGATCTTGCCTTAACAACAACAAAACCCTAGGGCTAGGGGTCAAAAATGGCTTGGTGTGCAACCTCAGTCTGACACCATGAACCCACATGACGGGCCGAGAGATGCTCCGACTCCCACCAAGCACCATGGTGTCCAAGTGTCTGTGGATCTGCCTATCCCAGTTATCTCAGACAAGCTTTTTAAAAATGTAAAAAAACAGCTGGGCGGTGGTGGCAGGAGGCAGAGGCAGTCAAATCTCTGTGAGTTTGAGGCTAGCCTGGTCTACAGAGAAAGTTCCAGGACAGCCAGAGCTACACAGAAAAACCTGTTTTGGAAAAACAAAAAAAGTAAGCGACAAAAACCAGAGCTGTGAGCTGTGAGCCTGCCCAGTTGGTAAAGTGCCCCTCACAGTTGTGAAGACCTGATCTCAGATGCCCATAGTTAAGAGGTCAAGCATGTTGGCAGACGCCTGAAATCCTAGTGAGTATGGGAGGTGAGGACCAGACAAATTGCTGGAGAAGTTCTAGGCCAATGAGAAACCTTGTCTCAAACAGTAAGTTTGACCTAGTTGGCCTTTTGTCAACTTGACAGGAGCTGAGTTATCTGGGAAGAGGAACCAAATGAGAAAATGCCTCCACCATGTCACCTATTGGTGAGTCTGCAGGGTATTCTCCTGGTTAATGACTGATGTGGGAGGGCCCAGCTCACTGTGGGTGGCCCCACCCTGGGTGGGTGGTCCTGGATGGCCTAAGAAAGCAGGCTGGCCAGGCTGTGGTGGCACACACATTCATACTAGCACTTGGGAGGTAGCGACAGCCTAGACTACATAGTAGTTCAGGACAGCCAGAGCTTTAAAAACAACAACAACAACAACAACAACAACAACAACAACAACAACAACAACAAAAAGAAAGGGACGAGAGCCAACTGAGCCACAGGGAGCAGCATAAGCGCTATGGGTGGCACTCCTTCATGGCCTCTGCTTCAGTTCCTACCTTGAGTTCTTACCCTGACCGCCTTTCATGATGGGCTACAACTGTAAGCTAAAATAAGCCTTTTCCTCCCCAAGATGCTGAGACATGTTAAAGGCATGTAAACACCTTAGAAACAACACGCAGATTGTCACCGGACACACATGAGCACATGTTGTAGACTAGAGTTACAGATGGTTGCGAGCAGCCATGTGGATGCTGGGTGCTGAGAACTGAACCTGGGTCCTGTGTAACAGCAGCCAGTGCTCTTACTGCTGAGCCATCTCTCCAGTCACTTAAGTTGTTAATTTGTACTGTTTCTGAGACAGGGTCTTACTGTTAAGGGTTAGGCCAGAATTCACAAGTTTATATAGCCCAGGCCAGCATCACATTCTTGGAGATACTTCTGCTTTAGCCTCTCAAGTAATGGAAACAAGTGTCAGGCACCACACCCAGTTTTAAGTTGCTAGCTTTGTGGTAATACTTTTATGAAGTAGCAGAAAACTAATATGCCCTATCCATCAAGCCATCCTACTAAAACATTCCAGTAGTTTCTTGTCTGCGGTACTCATTGAGATCTAGCTCTTGGCTACCTATCTCACCTCGTGCCACCTACCACTGAGTGTTCATCAGTCTTGTCCAGGCTCACAGCTTGACTCCGCCCCTTGGGTCCACTGTGAGAGCAGGAAGCACTCTTTACCACTTTTTACATTTACTTTTCATTGTATGTGTATGAGTGCTTTGCCTGCATGTATGTATGTGTATCACATGTGCCTGGTGCCTAGAGGTCAGAGGAGGGCATCAGATTCCCTAGAACTGGAGTTATGAATGGTTGGAAGCACCACGTGGGTGCTGGCAGCCACACTCAGGACCTTTGCAAGAGCAACAAGTGCTTTTAACTGCTGAGGGCTCCAGCCTGTGGTTAGTTTCTTTTTCTGAGTCAGGGTCTCACAATGTAGCCCTGGCTGTTTTGGAACTCACTCTGCAGACCAGGCTGGCCTTGAACTCACAGATACCCACGTGCCTCTGTGCCACCCTCCCCCACAGCTGGTTCCCTGACAAGAGTCTCATGTGCTCTAACATCTGAGACCCACTATTTCAATAGCAGGGTTTACTAGAGATTCTCATTTTTCTTTTAAGTATTTGGCTTTAAAATATTTCGCCAATTGATATATATTTCTTGTGCCAGGAGACTCTTATGAAAAAAAGTTGTCTAAAGGTATGAAAATAAAAAAAAGTTATATATGTTAAAGACCTTAACTGTTTCTACTGCTCTTACACATAACCTGAGGCCTCTAACAAGCTTTGGCTATGCAAACACTGACAATGAGCTATTATTACAGTAATGTATTAGTGACATGGTGACTCGGTCACACTTAAGGCTAACAAGTTACGAGGCTGGAGTAAAGTTCTGAGTTTGCTAGTTTCTGTCCTGGTATATAATCAACATAATTTATTATGTTACTTCACTGATGTGTTCATTCACCATGAAAAGCAACAACAAGAAGTATATGTGAATCATTTCACTCAGTAATTAAAAAAAAATCAAATACAAAAACATCAATGTCCCTTCTATTTAGGGCTCATCAACAATACTCACAGTTTATGTATACTTTTTTATCCTTTTCCCACTCTTTGCTTGACAAGTGCCAAACTCTGTGACAAGCCTCAGTTTTGGTCATAAATATCTATGCTTCTCATCCCTGTGTCAGTATGCTAGCAAAGCATCCTAAAAGACAAAGACGCTGGCCCATCCTGCTCTGAGCTGTGTGTGCCTCCACCAGATTACCTTCTTAATGCTTCTTTTGGTTCTGAGGCCCCAGCCTTTCCGCTCGGTTTTGATGATCTCTGCATCGGGATAGAGCCTCTTGGTAAAACACTGATTCTGACATCGGTCCCCAGCAGGGCACACCTGTGGGTGACACTCATACTGCGACATTCTGTTCAAACATTCTGACTCCAAGCCACAAGGGTTTTCATCAGCAGGCTTGCAGTTACAGCGGGGAATCTCCGACAGGTCGGCCACCTGGATCGGGACCTTTCCTATCACTTTGTTAGCCTAGGAGACAGAACGGAGAGAAGGCGGGTGATCTATGAGCATCTGGAACTACACCATCAAGCATGTGACCCGACCCTGAGGGAAGTTCTGCATCTTAAGGTCTCCTGCATAAACAAGGAATAATAACTATGTCTATTTACTAGACAAAAGTATTAATTCTCATTTGATGTTAATTCTCATTTGATTATTTCGCTTGCCACAGGCTGACAGAAATTTAATACCTGAAATTAACAGAAAATAAGCTATTTGTGAAGTGTCTGGAAAAGAGGGGCTAAAGATCTACATCCTCATTTGTTTGAAAGATAATCTGGTAGAAACAGAACAAAATTTCATATTAGCCACACGGCTCCTGGCTGTGGCAGACACAGAAACTGCTAGTCTAACAAGGAGATGCTGACTGATAGGGAGCATTTCTGCAGGTCACAGGGGCTTTCATCATCAGGGATGGGTGTGCTCACCTTGATGTGTTTGTAGGGAGGGGGTTTTCTTGAGGTCTTCTCTATCTCTAGAGCCTCTTTACTTTCTCGCTGTGCTTTCAACTCCTGGAAACGCTTTGCAGCTTCTTCCAGTGCTGACAAGAAGGGCAAGCAGGCCATTATCAATGTGCAAACACAAACCATAGGGCAGGAAGTTAAATTCTGCCATCTTAGAAATGCTCTGCATCTGACCCAAGGTTTACTTTTTAAAATGACATCCTGGAAATCACCAGTCACAATCATTATAGACATAATAATAATTTAGGAGACAACTCATCAAATACTATATACTCTGCATGCTCCTCAGAGCAGAGGTCCTACATCAGTGACAAAGGCCTCTAAGTAACCCTGTCCTAGATTTAAATGAAGTCTACCCTTAGAAAGGTAGACTATGTCATGTTGAGAAGGCCCCATGCTCTTCCTGGGAAGCCTTTTCTACTCCTTGGCAAAGGAGTGTCACCTGGTTAAAAGACACTTCAAACACAGCATAGTATCTCATACTTCATGCATCTAAAACCCGGGTCTGACGTCATGGTAACTTTATGGATGCAAAATCACAGTGCCTGGAGAACAGTCTCAAGTAGCAGAAACTCCATGTGCAAATAAGGGGATTTTAAGGAACATGCACTGGGGTGGTAGATCTGAGTCACTATAAGCTTAGGCCAACTTACCTTTTTTGAAGGTTTTGTTAATGCTAGTCTGTCCCTCAGCAAAGTTTTTGTCTCCCTCCACATAGGGGAACACTCTGCCTTGGTGTACCCAGTAGTAGTCATGAGAACCAAAGAAGAACACAGGGAAGTCCCCCAAGTCATGCCTAAGGCCCTGGATGTTGTGTGGCACCGACCTGGGACTGCAGATCTCTGCAGGCCACCATCTGAAAACAAAAATGAGAAAGTGAAAAAAAAAAAATCACACTCTTCTTCACAGAGTGGAAGGAGAGAAAGGGGTTCATATTTTCAACATTCATTCAGATTCCGATTCTAAAAACACAATATTTTGTTTTTCAAAACAGGGTTTCTGTTCTGGAACTCTTTGTAGACCACACTGGCCTCAAACTCACAGAGAACAGCCTGCCTCTGCCTCCCAAATGCTGGGATTAAAGGCGTGCGCCTCCACCACCCACACATTTAAAATGTATCAAATATATATCACAAACATATCAACTATAATGTTTAATAAAAAAGGATGTTGGACACATTTTCCAGCTTGGGAACTGGGATGTTAACTAATATGGTCCCAGCCCATTTTAACTGTAGAGAATTCACTTTCCCAAACTTGACTTATATCTTCCCAGGTAGAAAAATTATCTAGCAAAAATGAAAGGCTGTCTCTAGCAGTAAAAGGCATCACTCTGAGAATGAACCACTGCCATTGTAAAGAGAAGTATGGCATGCAAATCAGTATCTCCAAACTCTCCTCAGGCAGGGAAAATGCCTCTGAACCTCATGTCAGCTTTTGTGGTGACAGAGGCCAGGCAGTGGTGGCATACACATTTAATCCCAGCACTCAAAGACAGGGGCAGATGGACCACTGTGAGTTCAAGGCTACCCTAAACTACATGGAATGAATCAGTCTAAAAGAGAAACAGAGCTCACACCTTTGAACCCAGCACATGGGATGATATGACTTTAATCCCAGCACTAGGGAGGTGGAGACAGAAGTGATATGGCTGGGTAGAGGAAAGAACTCCTTGCACTCTGAGGACAGGATCGCCCTTTCAGTCTGAGCATTGGTAGAGGTGAGAACTCTCTAATAGCTGGCCACTTTGCTTTGCTGACCTTCAGCTTTAACCCCAATATCTGTCTCTGGGTTTTTATTATTCGTGTTATAAGGTTTTATGTCAGTTAACATTTTAGGATCAATAGTCTTAATAAGTACAGGGTGGAGGCAGAAAAAATACCTCCCCTTATTGTTGTGTCCGAATTCTGAACCCCAAAATCACCAAGAGACCCTTTCCGATGCAAAAGCAAAGAGTCTTTTATTGTTTAATGAGTTAACTGTCTTTAACTCAGGCCGGTCATCCATTCTTCATGGTGGAAAGCATAAGAAAGACCCAAAGAAACTGCAAGGTGGGGAACTTATTGGGCAGCATAAGGGGAGTATCTAGGGGTACACAACAGTGTCAGGATTGGTGCACTTTCCGGCTCAGGCAACCTGTCCTGTGTTGATTGGTCAACTGGTTGTTATGGCTTATAGGCCCTCCCAGGGCAGTTGCTATGCTCTTATGCTCTGTACATCACCATTACGCCACTTTTACTGTAAAGTACCATAAAGCATGTCAGCTAACTTCTGAATGGTTCCTTGTCATGTGGGTATCTGACTTCCTAGTGACTGGGAGGAGGGGCAAAGTCAGGAAAGCACATGTTGAGTCTTTTCTGTAACCTGTCATGGCTGCTAAAGCAGGGGGTTGATCCCTTCACTTAAGATCTTGTCACGGAGACTATTAACATTAGATGTATGCTTCCCCAAATATTAAGAACACATTATAGGGCAGGGAAAACATCCTCACATATAAAATAATAAATAAATAATTAAAGCCTTAAAGGAGGCTGTTTTTAAAAAAATGTTAATCACACACAATTTAAAACTTTGTTGTTGTTGTTTTGTTTGAAACAGGATTTCTCTGTGTAGCCCTGGCTGTCCTGTTGGGATTGAAGGCATACTTCATCACTGCCTAGCTTATGTTTTTCTTTTTATGTGTGAGGCCAGAAGAGAATGTCTGAACCCTTGGAGCCAGGGTTACAGGAGGTTGTAAGCCACCTGACATGCCTGTGAGGAACCAAACTCAGATCTTTTAAAGAGCAGCAGTAAATGCTCTATCTCTGCAGTCCCTGCTCTCATCCCTTTAAGAGCTAAGGCTTGGGTTGTCCAGGTGGCTCAGCAGGTGGGGTACTGCTGCCAACACTGACCTCCTGAGTTTATCTTGGGAACACATATGGTAGAAAGAGAGACAGATTCCTGAAAGCTGTTTTTGACCTCTATGGTTGTACTATGACTCATGCATTTCCCCATTTAATGAATAAGTACAAATGGATCTTAATGGAGTAATCTCACTCTTTATATGTCTTTTACATATAGCTTAGGGCTACTTGAGTACAATAGGCCTGCATACCTTTAACTCCAGCACTCAGGAGGCAGAGGCAGGTGGATCTCTATGAGTAACATGCCAGCCCGGTCTACAAAGCAAGTTTCAGGACAGACAGGGCTAGTACACAGAGAAACCCTATATTGAAAAGTATTTAAAAAAAAAAAAATCAAATGGATCTATCAGGACAGGGCTATAACTCTTGATCTCATTAGACTGGAGACTAAGAGATACAGCTCAGTGATTATGAGCACTTACTGCTCTTCCAGAAGACCTGTGTTCCATCTCCAGCACTCACACGGCGGCTCACAACTGTCTGTAACTCAGTCTTGGGGAACCTGACACACACTTCTGGCTTCCATAGGCAAGCATACACACAATATGTAGACACACAGGCCAATAAAACTTCCATATACACAAATTAGATAAGTATTTAGAAAAAGAAGTTAAAAATAGAGAACTAAGATACAAAGAAAACATAATCTCCACCCTCCATGTAAATCCTTTCATTCCAAAATTTAGTAGCACGTAATTCATGAGTATAAAATAATTCTCAGAATCTAAGAACAAAGTAAAAAACAACTCCTAAGGAAAAAGGCAAACAAACAAAACAAAAGAACCATAAAACAACAACAAAAACATAAATCCAAGAGCAACATAACCCTTCCAACCCCCTAAATAACCATATCCAAACCCCATTTTCTTTCATCCCTTTTGTTCAAGGAGCCGAGCCTGTCTCTCTGCCTGTGTGCTAAATGCACCTCATGCAGATTACAAGCACATGCAGAACTGTCTTAATTCCTATTTGCCCTTGGAAAACTTGCCTGTAATTTCCCAGTTTGACCCATACAATCTGTTTGTAATGCAGTTTCTTGCCAGCGTTACAGTCATTGCAGCTCCAGCAGCCTTCTGGCATGTCTATGTTCAGGCATTCTGGGTGGAAGGATGCAGGGCACGATTCACAACAGAGCAGTTTTCCACCTTGAAACAAACAAACAGGCTTAGCAACTGAGAAAGAAAGGAAAGGAGAGAGTTATCTTTTAAGTACATTATATCTTTTTCTAATGGGAAAAACAAAGGGATTGATATAGTCTATCCAGAGTGATAGATTAAAATAGGAAACAAGTGAAACAGCCCATTTTTAAGACTCCAGTGGTTAGAAACACAGAGCTTTTGTAGGACCAAAACCACTGCTGTGCCCCTTCAGAAATATGAGCAACTGGGGAAGCAGGTGTCAAAGATACAGAAACTCTTTAACCCAAGTAGATTTGAAAGTAGGTTTTCAAACAACTATCTTTTGTTCTTCCGAGCAAAGAATGCAATAATCATGTCTGTATTTTAATCCACTGCCACAATGAACTAAATCTCCTTATAATAAAATCAGCCAAGAATGAAAATAATCAATGAGTTGATCAGTACTTTTTTTTTCTTAAAATACAAAAGTGGAATACAGATTCTTAAGCTGGTAGTTACAGCACCATTACCTTCTCAGTGAAGACAGACACTCAGGCAGGCTATATAGCAGTGGTTTGTAAATGTTCCATCACCAAGGACTCCCTTTTTCCCAACTATGACCCAGATTTTCAAAATCATACCAACCAAAAATAAACTTGCATCTCAATATTAACGATTTTCCTCCACCTTTATTTGGAGATAGCCTCATTAGGTAGTTCTTACTTCCCATTAGTGATCCTCCTGCCTGTCTCCCAAGTGCTGGGATTGCAGGCATACACCATCATGCCCAACTCTCCTATTTGTATTGACCAAAGAAATACGTAACTACTGGAGGCTATGATCCAAAAGCAAAGCAAGTTTTATAGTATTATGTTGGACAGTTAAAAGTCATAGCCAAATAAACCTCATGTAATTCTATATTGCATAAATGTGTAATTATCTTAATTTTACAAAAATACATGAAATTTCTCTTTGGATATCTAGATCTCTGACTTAAATTTGAGAACCACTGCTTTATAGCACAAAACTAAGTAATTCTCAGAGCAGAATGAAGTACTACATGCAAATGCATCATTTCAGGTTCCTACCAAAGCCCTCTCTTTTTAGACTAAAAATGTTCCCTGGGTTGATACCAAAACAGGTGTGACAAAATGAATAACATTTTTTAATGCAAACAAATAAACATGGGGGGGTGATTAGGTATTTCTAGTATGAATTATCAACAAGTAACAAAAAAGGTTAACCACTGAAGAGAGACACATTTTCATTGACAAGTCAGTTCTATAACCTACAAGCTGTAGAGATGCAGAGCCTTCTATATAACTTGATAGACTACATGCTCCAGCCTTTTATAGAGTTCCAGAAATCCTGTCTTCCTGCACTTTCAAGCCTCTAACCGTTACATTAAAACAAAAGGAAAACCTACATGCAACCAGTGATGAACCAAGAACTGTATTTCCTCTGCCAGCTTTTACTTCGGTCATTGGTGCTTTTCCCCTTTGACTGCAGGTATCAATGGGGATTAATTCGTTCAATTTGAGGTTAGCTGCTTGGATGTTTTAAGTCCATTGGAAAGGAACAATCAAGAGGGAGACCTGTCTTGCAGACAGCCTTAGAGGACATGTGATTATCAGCACCACTGTGGAAGTCGGGCTGGCCATGTTCAGTGTCAATGTAAATGGTCCTACATTTTCAGTCTTATTTAGAGGAAATACAGAGCCAGAATCAGTGAAAACTAACATGATAGAGATGTCCAAAATATATAAGAATATAGAAAAAATAAAAATATGAATGGTCTGTCTACCTTGCTTCTATGTAAAAACAACAACAACAACAACAACAACAAAACAGATACAAGAGGAAATACATCGTTCAAGCTAAGTAGATGGATGGCTCGAAATTATTTCAATAGATGTCAGGTTAATACTGAATGCTGGAAACAAAACAACAACTGGGTTAAGCTCATTTTATAAATGTACTGATAGACTACTTCTACTTTGTTGAGGAACAAGGCCCACCTCCTCAGAAAGCATAAATATCACTCATAAGGCAATGCAGTGTGACCTCAGCAGGAATTGAGCCACAGGCCAGTCCTTTCTCGATACTCTTACTCTTACTCAGTTACTATTGCCACTTGGGCCAACAAAGGAGCAAGGATACATCAAACAGGCAGCACGAATGGCAAATACTAATAAAAACCTATGCTTAACACGCAAATATGGTATATTAGATAGGAATAATGGACTTTTCTTTATCAATTCTGAACTTAGACCCCGGGTCATAATGAGAATATATTAAGCAAAAGCCCTACCAATACCTTCCAAACTCAGATGTTTCCTCTGGGATGGAACCCCAAATAAACATGAAGTCACTTTCCCCTCTCTCACATGCAGGCTACAACAAGCTAAGAACAAATAAAGTTTCTTTGCACAAATGACAGTGATTGAGAGAACGTGAACATACATTAGCTCATGGTTCTTTATGAATAAACTTCCCATTGGTAATTTGACTGGGCTACCTGTCAACATCTAGAATTTGGGGTATGTCCTCAACCCCAGCTTCCCTCCTATGGGAAGGAAGGGCACTTGCTTCCATGCCATCTTAACTAAATACTGAAGAAATGAAAAAACAGAATAAGTTCTAGAAACAATCTTTTTTCAGTACCTGTTACCTTGGTTTTCTTTTCTAAATAGCCTTTCTTGTTAGTAATGACAAACTATACCATAACTATCCTAATATAACATGAATGACAGGTTCTAGGTCAAGCGAATGAGAAATAGTTTCTTAAATGTCTTTTATACTAAGTAAAATTCTAGTCTTTAGATTTTAATAACCTACATCTTTGGAATGTGTGAAAATTGACTCAGGGAGAAAAGTAAAAAAAAAAAATTGTGATGACAGAAATATTTTAAGCCCTTTTTTGATAATTTTGTAGCCATATGAAGACAAAGTCACAACCACCAAGGCAGAATCTACCAAAACCAACAGGCAGTGCTTGACAGGCATACATTCCCCCCCCTTCATTTAAATAGAGAAAGAGAGAAAAGGGAAAAGGCAAAAATAAAAACCAGAAAGAAACTATTTTAGTTATTACCTTTCTCACATTTCTTTTTGGAAGCTGACGAAGAAGGAATCATAGGTAATTTCATCAACTCAGCACGGTTTGATTCGTTCAGTAGGTAGTGAGATTTATAGGCATAGGAACTGAACATGGGGTCTGAATGGTCCTGAACTATCAGCCCTATATAAAACAAACAGAAAGAGATGAGCTGCGATGAAACTACCCATGATTCCATGAGGGAAAAAATCAGCACCTATCATGCACCCGAGCCTTACAGTGAGGGATGGGAGTGTGTGAAAATGGAGCCCTACCTCCCTGACTTTACTAAAGGAGTGCAAACCATTTTAGATTTTATTTTATTTATTTTTGCCAGCACAGAAAGTGATTATCACCTTAAACAGTTATAAAAAAGTTACTCTTATCTACCTATATACCTATCCTATTGGAAGAAAACACTAGATCCACTGTAATATACTGACTCCCAAGACTGCCAATTAAATTTATAATGCAGCTATATGCCATTTTCTATGCAGGGAACTGTCATCCTAATAATAATTCCTCTGTCGGTCATTATTTTTATGATGACCTAGGACTTTATAGTATACATCAGAACAGTGTCACTTGGGGACCATTTTGAGAAGTCTATTTTGGAAGGGTCACTGCTCACTCTTTACTATGGTGTAATTTTCATTTATGCTGCCCTCCACTGAGATGGGTTCAAGAAACGTCTGCACTTGGTGAAAGAATGGAACTTTACACTGCTACTAAAACAGTAATTTTGTAAGAAAAGTTATGTAATGTCAATATTTTATATCCATTTAGTGCAAAGAGGTGCTATTAAAAAAAGAAAGAAGAGAAAAGAGACTGTTAAAATGAAGAAGGTTAAGTAGAATCTCTCTCCACTCACCAACTGAGCCTCAGGTAAATCACTCAGCCTAGGCTGAGTGTTCTGACCCACACAAAACAGGAAATGCTTCCTAAGGCAACTGTGGCAATCGTTTCAAACTGTGTCTATCAGAGTGTCATTTACATATGCAAAGCAAACTGCTATTATTGCTATTAAAATAAAGAGAAGACCCTAACCTAGCAGCTCTATTACAAACAAAGGCATAGAAATGTTAAGTAATGCATTGGTGGTGCACGCCTTTAATCCCAGCAGCCTTTAATCCCAGCACTCGGGAGGCAGAGGCAAGCGGATCTCTGTGAGTTCGAGGCCAGCCTGGTCTACAAGAGCTAGCTCCAGGTCAGCCTCCAAAGCCACAGAGAAACCCTGTCTTGAAAAAACCAAAACCAAAACAAAACATAGTACTGAAGATGCACAAAAAATATCAATAATATAAGTGCACTGAAAGATATCTCAGTATTTCCTATGGTGTTGAGTTGGCTAGGAATATGTGTAAAGCCTCTAAAAATAGTTCTAGACCTTTTAATCCTTAAAAATTAGCTTCATGACTTTTTTTAAGTTAATTAATTTATTTGTGTGTACTTGCAGGCATGTGCATACATGCACGTTAAGTACAGGCCAGAGGACAACTTGCAGGGGTCAGTTCTCTCCTCCTATCAGTGCATCCCTGGGCTCAAATATCAGGCTGTCAAGCTTGGCATAAGAGCCTTTACCCACTGAGCCATCTCAATGGCCCAGCTCAATGATTCAAACATCCAGTTACTAAGAACTATGAAAAAATACTTTATGAGGATGGAAAAATGCTTAATAAGACTAGAAAGATAGAAAATAAGCTCCACTTTCTAATCCTAAAACATAAATTATTGGGGCTGGAGAGGTGGCTCAGATGTTAAGGGCACTGACTGCTCTTCCAGAGGTCCTGAGTTCAATTCCCAGCAACCACATGGTGGCTCACAACCATCTGTTATGAGATCTGGTGCCCTCTTCTGGTGTGCAGATATACATGGAAGCAGAATGTTATATACATAGTAAATAAATAAAATCTTTAAAAAAACAAATTATTAAAGTGTTTTCTTTGGCATATAGATTTACTATAGTCTCCTTAAAAATAGGTGTCTCTAAAGTTTAAAATATTACATATTTGTACTTTTTTTTATTTTTGGCTTTTTTGAGAGAGGGTCTCATCATTTAGTTTTGGAACCTGTCCTAACCCAGCATGTAAGCCAGGCTTGCCTGTAACTCACAGAGATCCACCTGCTTCTGTTTCCTGAGTGCTGAGATTAAAGGTGTGTGCACCACCACACCTGGCTTTCGTATTTGTACTTTAAAGCCTTTGATTTAAATCTCAAATATCTGATATGTTTAGAGTAAATTTTTACAAAATGCTGTGAGAGGAAATGAAGTTTTCTTCTTATTACACAAAGTTACTTTACAATTCAGCTAAAATATGTGGGTATTCATTTCATGGGCTTTTAAATAAAGTATAAACAGATATAAACACAGTTCTGATTCTGAATCATGGAGCTTTGCCCCATGTACATTATCTTCAGGTTTTTAGTTAATGGTTATCAGTTTAATTTCACAAAGTGGCAAGAGTCTTTGTAAGTATTACATTTTCTACCTGTCCTAAACTGAAAATAGTTTTAAAGAGCAATCAATTAAAAACATTAAAAAATGGCCTGCTGTAATGACGAATGCCTTTAATTACAGCACTTCAGAGGTAAGAGGCCAGCCTGGTCTACATAGTGAGTTCTAGGACAGCCACAGCTACATAGTAAGGCCCTGTCAAACAAAAAATAAAATAAAATAAAACAAAGCATTCCATTATTAAATGAAACAGAGCACAAAAAATACTGACTGAATTGGACTTAGAACATACTCCAAAGTAAGCTATCAAACTAGTTAATAAACTGACATTTTTTGTATACTATTAAGAAGGGTCTGGAAGAGCCAGAATAGAAGGGGCTGGCAAAGCAACAAGGGTTGCTCGCCATCACTGTTACTCAAGTCTCTAACGCTATGCATCAATTCATAATTCAATAGTTTGGGTTGACGAGAAGGCTCAGAGACTAAGAGCACTGGCTGTTCTTGCAGGACTCAGGTCTGATTCTCAGCACCCCCATGGCAGTTCACAGCCACTTTCAATTCCAGTCCCAGGGTATCTGATGACCTCTTATGGCCTTATGGGCCCGGCACACACACATGGTTCACAAACATACATTCAGGTACACACAAATAACCCTTTCTGATCACCACTCTATTCAGAACAGAAGATGTGGTAATTTTTTATTTATTATTTGCCTGTGTGAATCCTTTCTGTCACCATTAACAGTGTGGCAATGAGTATCTTGGTTGAACTCCTACAGGTTTCAAAGCAGGGAACTGTGAAGACTCTGGCTTCAGACTTCGGTAAGGAAGGACAGTAGGGAACTGGTCTAGCATGAGTCCCTGGGTTTAATCCCCAGACCACAAGCAAACCAGCAAACCAAAACAAAACACCAGTGTTCCCTACTTTGACATCAGACAGAATATATGCTTAGGAGACTGAGGTAGGCAGAAAGCCTCAGGGTAAGGAATCCAGTTCGCTGTAGAAGGGGCTGTAAAAGATGTTAATACAGATGTTTATGTAATTGTTAACTGCCTATCTCCTCAGTTTTTTTTTTTTTTAATGAGAGATATAAAAGCAAAACCACCCAAAATCTTTCATCCTTACTAATTAGCATGATAAATAAAATACCTACAGTCTCAGCTACTTGGGAAGCTGAGGCAGAAGGGTCACTTCAGTTTACAAGTTTAAGACCAGCCTCCAGACAAAGCTCATCTTAAAACGGAAAACAGGCAAACAGAAAGGAAACTTTAAATACAGCCTAACACACTTGACACATCTAATAGTTCCTTTAAATATTACATAGAAGGAAATGCAGAAAACAATGAAAATTTTATTAAAAACAAAAATTACATTTTTATTAAACAAAAAGACAATTATAATGATTACTAACTACCCAAAAAGGGGAAAAAAAAAAGAATTTAATTATAATACAGTTAAGATAAAGATGGACAGTGGGAGTTGGGTGATGGTGACTTTTAGCCCCAGCATGGTCTACAGAATGAATTCCAGAACAGCCAGGGCTACACAGAGGAAACCTTTTCTCAAAACAAACAAGCAAACAATGGACACTATGTATCACAATCCATGAATATGTAGCATGTGGTGCTTTGGATAAGAATGGTCCCCACAGGCTCACCTGTTAGGTTCCCCGTTGGTGGGACTGTTTGGAAAGGCTTGGAGGTGTGGCCTTGTTGTAGGAGGTGTCACTGGGGTGGCGTCTGAGGTTTCAAGATGCCCTGCCACTCCCAGTTTGTTTTCTCTCTGCCTCATGGTGATTGACTCAACATGTAAGTTTTCCACTACTGCTCCAGCACCACGCCTGCCTGCTGCCATGTTCCCTGACATGATGGGGGATCATTTGAAACTGTAAGCAAGCCTCCAACTAAATGCTTTCTCTTATAAGCTGCCTTGGTCAGTGTTTCTTCATAGCAATAGAATAATAACTAAGATAGAATTTGGCAACAGGGAGTGGCATATTGCTGTGGCAAGCTTGATCATTCTGGGTTTTGGAGAAATGTGGAAGACTTTGGAGGAGGAAGCAAGGTTGAATGTAGTAAGTAGGACTTAATGGGCCACTCTAGTAGGAGTTTGGAAGACAGCAGAGGTAAAAACCATGTGGACTATGGAGGTTTCAGCTCAAGATGTTCCTGAGGGGAAGAATATTAAGCATGTGGCTTAGAGCCCATTCTTGTGATATTTTGGCTAAATAAATAAGTAAATAATAAAAAAAGAAAAAGAAAAGAAAAAGTGGCTGGTTTTTGCCCTTGTCTTTAGAATCTGGCAGCAGGTAAATTGAAGAATTTTGGATTAATGTCGTTGGCAGGAATTTCAACACAACCTGGTATTGACTGTGTCATGTGGTTATTAGTGATTACTCTTATGCAGATCTAAAATGAAAAAGAACAAACAGGGAAAAAAAAGAAATACAAAATGTATAATTTGGGGAGAAAAAGAACATGAGAAAATTTAATGTTAAAGCCAAGTCTTGTGCTCAAAGAGATGAGAAATTTAAAGGCCTGATTCGAAATGGCAGGACCCCACTCAGTTAAGCTTCCACCTTGTTTAAAAAAGAAATGCCTAAGCAGTCTTTTGCTTCTAAAGCAAAGAAAGCTTACTTAACGAGGAGAGGGGTCAACAAATCAAGGTTTATGCAAATGTAATTCAAGGAGGGGACCAGGCCCCATCCAAAGCAGAGTAGCAGAATTTGAGTAGCATTCCTACTTGGCTCTGGCTTTAGAGGCCAGAAGAATACATAAGTAAAGGGGTTGTAGAGTCTTCCTCCACAGTTAAGGAAAGATGCTGAGGCCAGGTGAGTGGCACAGGAGTACCTGCCTGGAGGCTCTGAGAGGCCAACTGTGTGGAGCTGTGAAAATGAAGCCTGGATTGCAATGGAGATCCCAAAATGTTGGAGATGCCAGAGCCCTGGGATGTCTGCCAAAGAACTGCAAACAGAGTGTGGAACCAGTCCAAGAGAGAGAAGTGTGAAGTGTGCTGTGGTTAACAAAATCAGGAGACCTTTGACATCAGACATGGAGATGCAGAGTTTGGAGCTTGCCCTGCTGGGTTTTGGTATTGCTTTGGTCCATATTTTCTCATTATGTTACTTTTCCCCCTTTTGGAATCGTAATGCATATTTTTAAGTACGTAATTTGCCCCTTTTTTTTTTTTGGTTTGTCGAGACAGGGTTTCTCTGTGTAACAGCCCTGGCTGTCCTGGAACTCACTTTGTAGACCATGCTGGCCTCAAGCTCACAGAGATCCACCTGACTCTGCCTCCTGAGTGCTGGAATTAAAGTTATTTGCTTTTTAATTTTACAGAGGGTTACAAGTAAGAGATTGCCTTGAGTCTCAGAAGAGACTGTAGACTTTAAAGAGTCTTGGGACTGAAAGAGTATGGGCACTTCTGAAATTAAACTAAATACATTTTATATAGAGTTGTGGCCATAAGCCTAGGGGTCCAGGGAGTGGAATGTGACGGTTTGAAAATGAAAGTGACCTCCATAGGCTCACATGTTTGAATGCCTGGTCTCCAGTTGGTAGATCTGTTTGGGAAGGGTTAGGGTGTGCCTTGTTGGAGAAGGTGTGTCACTAAGGGGTGGGTTTTGAGGTTTCAAACGCCCAAGCCATTCCAGTTTGCTCACTCCCTGCCTTGTTCTCTCAACATGTAAGCTCCCAGTTACCACTTCAGCACCACACCACACCTGCCTGCTGCCATGCTCTCTACCATGATGGTCGAGGACTAACCCTCTAAAACTGGAAGCTCCCAATTAAACGCTGTCTTTTATAAATTGCTTTGGTCATGGTGGTTTGACACAGCCATAGAAAAGTGAGACACACCATGAGCTCAAGTTTGATACCATCCCAATACTGCTTTCAGTTTATCAGTCTCCCTCATGGGGAAAACTCTGCATGGATGCTCTTAACTAAACCAGCACATGTGTTGCCTTGGCTGTATCTTATCAGGTCCTCAATGACAGTTCAAAACATACAACCATCGGAAACTGTGCTAGCCTTGCTTTCCAGGTGACAACCCACAGCTGACAATGACAATTCAGGAAGGACCTGCCTTAAGGAGAAAACTGAAGACGAGGACATTCTTTTATCAGTCAAAATATTAAACAGAAAAAGTAATCAAGAACTTACTTGCAATTCTAAGCTTGCTTTTTTTTTTTTTTCTTTTTGAGACACAGTCTATATATAGCCTTAGCTGGTCTAGAACTTGCTATACAGACCAGCCTTGCTTAAACTCCCAGAGATCCTCCTGCCTCTGACTCTCCAGTGCTGGGATCAAAAGGTGGGCGCCATCACACCCAGCTTAAGATATTTCTTAAAGCAGAGTCAGCTTATGGAATTATTAATTTTCTCAGGATTTGGAAGTCTGCCTGGAATTTTCTCTTTCAGTAACGAGAGGGTGGACTCAGCACTCCTAGGACAGGATGTAGTACTATGCAACAGCTGGAGTTCTCTCTAATGCAGAGACACATTCAAATGGAGAAATATGCCAATGAAGTCAGAACAAAAAAATAAAGCGGGTTGACACTCACCTCTGGCACAAACGAAACAAAAGCCTACGTTTACAGCAGCAGAATGACTACTCCGTTTGGAATGGTTACTACAGATGAGAATGTGGGAGGACACAGAGACGCTTCCAGCAGCAACACACGCATCTCCAAAGTGGTAGGCGACTGGACACCTCAAGCACCTCATCATCCGTCCTGTGTGAAGACAGGTCAAGAGGGGTCTACAGCATGCCAGTCAGCCATGGTACTCTGAGAGTAGGCCTCCCCTGCCATGCCACACTGTCACAGTCAGTGCAAAATATTCTTTACTAGGCTAACTGTCATTCCTGCACTTTCCAGTCCCTAAATGCAAGCCTGATAATCATGTGGGGCTCTTCCAAAGGAATGAAATACTATGTCTACACTTAGTTAGTTCTTCAGTGTAGTCTGAAGTGCTTAACAAGTCAGCCATTGTGGCTCAGCCTTTAAACTTGGAGATAAACAGAGAGAATGCCCATGCTGCTGACAAAGACGTGCACTTTGCACGCTGTCCCTTCTTTAGCGCTGGATACCTTTACTTGCTTTGTGGATGTCTTTCTCCATGGAGCAGGAAGAACAGCAGTGCTGGGGACAGCGGAACCCTTTTGACTCAAAGATGGCAGTGGGGAACTTTCGGACACAGGCTTCATGGTAAAACTTCCCACAAACACTGACAGAACAACGTTTCACATCCTCACCAGACTCTTTACATGAAAAACATGGGTGCTGCCCTAGAAAATTGATGAAAAGCAGGTTAAATAAGACCTCGTTAAAGCACATTCCACTTCATTCATTTAACCATTAAAAATGGCAATTATTCCTGACAATGAGCTCCATCCCAGCACTTGGTGTTTTTTTTGTTTTTGTTTTTGTTTGTTTTAGTTAAGATTTATTTATTTATTTATTTATTTATTTATTTATTTATTTATTTATCTATCTTGTATACAGTGTGTACCAGAAGAGGGCACCAGATCACATTACAGATGGTTGTGAGCCACCATGTGGTTGCTGGGAATTAAACTCAGAACCTCTGAAAGAACAGTCAGTGCTCTTAACCCCTGAGCCATCTCTACAGCCCCAGGTTTTTGGGGATAAGGACTTTTTTATGTACCTCAGACCAGCCTCAAAATTGCCATCTTCCTGCTTCAGTCTCCTTAGAGCTCAGCAGGTACAGGTGTGTGATTACACATAAGCTAAGTGCTCCTTTTATACAGGAGTAGCTACAGACATCAAAGAGCTGCTCCTGAGAGAAATTCTGCTATTACACTTCAGAACTTAGCATAAAGAAACATGGGGCTGGAGAGATGGCTCAGTGGTCACAGTCACTGGCTGCTTTTCCAGAGGATCTGGGTTTGATTCTTAGCACCCACTTGGCAGCTCATAACTCTATCTATAATTCCAGTTCCAGGGCGTCCAAAACCCTCTTCAGCCTCATTGGGCACCAGGCATACTCACAAACATACTTGCAGACAAAACACCCATACACACAAAATAATTTTTTTTTAAATCTAAGAACACAGCCTGGTAGTGGTGGCACATGCCTTTAATCCCAGAATGTGGGAGGCAGATGGATTTCTGTGAGTTTAAGGCTAGCCTGGTCTACATAATAAGTTCTAGAACAGTCAGGTCTACATAGTGATACTCTGTCTAAAAAAATATTAATAGCATTATTTTTCCACTAAATATGTAATCATATTTATAGTTTTACTATAACCATATTATATTTACTATATTATATTTAAATATATACTATAACCATAGTTAGTTACTATGATTAATACTTGTTGAGATCTATGAAAGGACTTTAAATCTATGTATTAAGCACCCGTGCGCGCGCACGCAAGCACACACACAAACTTACACACACACACACACACACACACACACACACACACACGTTAGACTCAGCTGCAAGACAGCCTGACCACATACTCCCAACTCCCAAACAAACATCTTTTTTGACCTTAGGAAGTTTAATTCTGTATGATGTCTTAATTCACTGAAATACCTATGGGCAGGCAGGGAGGAAAGCTGGCTTAGCCATGAATGAGTATGAAAGGAGTAAGAGTCATAGAGACATGAGGACAGCACATCCTCCCTATCCAGCCTTCTATGGCACAGCTCACCCGTTTTACACTCCTCACAGATGAATCTTCCCTCAGGGACTGCAGTCAGGCCCAGGCACTCCCAGTGAAAGTGTCTGCAGCACTCCCCTTCACAAGAAACCAGACAATCACCAGCGGTTTCACAGATCTGTAAGAGCAGAAAGCAGAAACTCTCAGACTGGAGCATCAGAATTGACCAGGGCACTTGCTCAAGTACAGGCCACTAGGTTTGTCTCCTAATATTCTGAGTTAGAAGGTCTAAAGGAGGGACCCGCCCAAAAATTCCAATTTCTCCTTTCCTTTCCTTCCCTTCCCTTTCCTTTCCTTTCCTTTCCTTTCCTTTCCTTTCCTTTCCTTTCTCCTTCCTTTTCCTTCCTTCCTTCCTTCCTTCCTTCCTTCCTAGACAGGGTTTCTCTGTGAAGCCCTAGGTTTGGTTCCCAGCACCTACATGGAGCTCACACACCCATCTGTAACTCTAGTTCCCTCTTCTGAACTCTTCAGAACCAGGCAAACATGTGGTGCACATGCCCTCATGCAGGTAAAACACAAAATTAAATAACTCAAAAAAAAAATTAAAAGGAATAGGTAGCTGGGCATGTAGGCCACAAGTCTAGAAACAGCCTGGTCTATACAGCAAATTTCAGAGCAAGCAAGGCTCCAAAGTGTGGCCCTGTCTCAGGAACAAAACAAACAATAAAAACCCACTAAGACTGACAGTTGCATTTGAAATGACAAATATTCCAATTAAGGACAGAGAGAACCACAGATATCCTTAGGATCTAAAACTTTAAAGCAATGTAATAATAAAAATAGAATAGCCACCTGCCTACCTGACACACAGTGTCCTTCTTACTCATGCCAGCGCCTCTCCGTGACAAACTTGAGTCCACCGACTGTGAGTCGGAAGCATCTGCATCTGCCGCAGCGGAGGGGCTATCCACTTCTTTTCCATAGCCTACCTATTTGGAAAATAGCAGATGATAAAGGAAAAACAATTCCTGTAGACACAATACAAAGCCTAGTGAAACAGGCTCAAATCTATCTCAGAACAGCCTTCCTTCCTGCCTGCCTTCCCTCCTCTTCATTTCCCTTCCTTCCCTCCCTCCTCCTTTAAATCCAGGGATGCTATGTGTCTGTCATTTGGGAGAAACTGCAGCTAATATTTAAAAAGCAACAATGACAAAAACTCCTCTATAAGCGGTGATTCACCAATACATAAGCAGATAAGGTACGGGTATAATTATTGGGGAAATATGCCTTACTTACAGTGCACCTAGCCAACTGGCAGGAAAGCAGAGCTAGTTGAAGCAACAGGGAGAAGAGAGCTTTCTCTAGAAGTTTTGATTTTTGTTGTTATTATTATTATTTTTAGTCATGGTCTCACAATGTAGTTCTACTGTCCTAGAACTCGCTCTGTAGAGAGGCTGGCCTAGCCTGTAACTCAAAGCTCTGCCTTCTGAGCACTGGAATTAAAGGTATGCACCACCATGCCTGGCCCTTCATCTTTTTGTTTTAAAAAACAAGGCTGACCACCACCACATGAAGCACCCCTCTCTCTCTTATTTTTAAAAAATACTTTATTTAACTTTATTTTATGTGCATTGGTGTAAGGATACAAGATCCCCTGGTACTGGAGTTACAGACAGGTGTGAGCTGCCATGTGGGTGCTGGGAATAGAACCTGGGTCCTCTGGAAGAGCAGCCACTGCTCTTAATCACTAAGCCATCTCTCCAGCCCCTGAAGCACCTCTCTTTGATGGGTGTAGTTTTCAATGCCTGACTACCCTACATTCTACAATGGACCCTGGGAACTTGTCTGGAGGTTCAAGCAGGAGAATTACTCAGATAGCCTTGACCAAGACCTTCTCTTGGGGAAGGCCATCCTCTTCCATTTTTGGAGAGTTGAATATGGAGCCATGAAGAAGGGGCATGAACCTACCCAGACAGGTAAACTGAATTACCGTGGTAACCAAGAGTCAGAGACCACAAAGTCAATTCAGCCCTACACCCTCCCGAGAGTGTTTACATCTCCCTGATTTCTCCCACGGAAGCATGCTACTGTGGCTGGCAAGGCACGAAAGAGCAGTCTGACCTGACCCTTACACAAACTTACCTGCAGATCACTCAGTCCTCGAGAATCGGAGTCAGATGTGTCTCGGTATGCGGAATTAGCAGTGTCTACATCAGTTGAGGCTCGACTCCTTTTCTTTAGAGGCTTACAGGAATCTGAAATCTCGCTGGCACCTTAACACAACACACTGAAATTAATCCTAGGATCATATTTAGGGCCACCGCTTTCCTTTTTTGTAGGAGAATATTTTCTTTCCCCAAACTCATGTTAAGTGTGTTGGGAGAATTCACAGCTTGCTGTGGCACTTAAGTTGCCAGTCAAACCTTCACAAGTTTCTGGCCTTCCTGGTAGAGGTGGTTCATTTACAACTGCTCTATAAAACATTAAATTTAGTTCTGCTCTACTGCTATGTTGACCAACAGAGCCCAAGTTCCAATCTAGACATCAATTGTATCAAAACTGAAGGACAGCCAATTGATTTGGAGCAGTTCAGAGAACCATTCGATTTTGTAAGGGGAAGACATGAAACCCAACACAGTGCAGTTTACAGAGATATGGTTGCAGAGACATCTCCATCTTGTTTTATTAGGGATGTGACAAATCTTTGATTTGTATTCGATTCGTACACGGATAGTGCCATTTCAACCCCCCAATTTTGCAATTCAGCTGATGATTATCCCCCAAATAAATTTTGGATGTTCATCATTGTTCTTTCTTGGTAAAGTGGCATTTATTGTGACCATTAGCAAGTGCTGCGGCACATCTACACATGTCCATCTACATGTCATGCCATGTGGGAGGCACATTAACTGAGGGCTGTAATGGACAATCAGTGTTCAAGTGCAGGAGATCACGAAAGACTAACGAGAGGCCTCTGGACTTCGTGAGGGAAGGAATAAATATATATTTGAAAAAAAAAAAAGGCAGAGAATAGTGTGGAAGTTTTTTTAAAACTGCGTGTAATACAAATCCAGCCAAAACAATAGTGCAAAAAGTTACAAAGCAACAATCTCTTGGGCTAATGCAGTAGGCTATGCAGAGACAGCCACGGTGAAATGTGCAGCTCAGGCACGGTGAATACCAAGGAACCAAGGAGACGCTTATTATTTCCACCCACAGTTTTGTGTTTTAGATTTCCCCCCAAAACTTTCCATACAACAAACACTTCTAGGTCAGCCCAGCAAGCTATGGTGGAAGTGCAGTCCAGAAGAGACTATGGAGAAAGAAGTCTCCTGAGGCCATGAAGATCCGCAACAGGCTGGGTGGGAGCAACGCTTGGTGTATAGCCATATTCTGTGGTGGAAGATGTGGGCCTCGGGAGACTGCTCGGGTTACTGGAACCTCGTTATCACATCCCATCCTACAAGTTTGCACTGAATGCTTCCTGACAGCTACAAGTGAGGGTGCCTGCCCATGTTAATGCTGATTAAAAAACACAATACACAAATCTATCTCTTTCATTGCTGGTGTGTGGAACCAGAACATCACCACAAAATATTTCCTTGGCCTAAAAGATCACTGAATTAACAAGGAGGTTTAACAGAGGAACAGGAGTGCTGTACTGAGAGGCTTTCGAAGGGAAACACAGGTACCGCCAATTCCGATGAGTTTCTGAAAATGCTAGAAAAATGACAGACCGCTGAAGACAGCTGTCATGCTGTTCTCCATGATAACGGCACTAATATTAAAAAAAATAACAACAGCTTTTAATGATTGCAATGTATACAGTTTGGGCTGTTTGGCAAAACCCTGCAGATGTGTATTAATGATGCTTTATTTAAAAACAAAAACGAAAACAGTCCATGGTGGAATTGATCAGGTTAAGTTAATGGTAGTTTTTAGGCTGGACCCATGATTTAAGCTGTACCCATCCAGCTCAGACAAAAAAATAAAAATAAAAAGAGAGAGAAATCATCTGAATGTTAAAGCAATTGTTCAGAGTCTTGAAGAAGAAACCAGGCCAGAGAATGCCAATAATGATGATTGGCAAAATCAAAATCAAAACAAAAGAAACTTTATCGAGCCGCCGACAAAGAAATCTTGCACGGAGACTACAAGTCTGGAGTTTCTGGGATGAAATTGTACAGGAATCTCAGTCCACAGTTTCCTCATTCGCTGCGGAGACGGAGCTGTCACTGAATCTGACAGAGCCCTGCACTCCTCGGTCCGTCGACCCTGTGGAATGGTGGAAACACAACGCAATCAGGCCTCCTAATCTCGCAGCGATCGATCGCGATGTCTTTTCTTGGAGCTCCGCCAAGCAGTGTTCCCTCCGAGAGGCGTTCAGTTCTGCTGAGGATCTCCACGGAGACCATCGCTGCAGACTTCTCCCCGAGAATGCAGAGAGGCTGGTGTTTTATTTTATTCATTTTAAAATAATGCAATTTGCCCAGAGTAAACTACAGGTATTAAACACAGTTTGAGCTCACCAAAATCACATGAGTCATGCTATGGAGTTTGTACTATACTAAAATTGCACACAGAAAACACATATATAAGTTTAAGGGTTCTTAAACTTTGTGCATCTCTCAAATAGATTCACATATGGTCATCTAATAGTGGCCATAATTATGCTATGGGTCAATTTACAAAAAGATTGTACAGCACTGTAAAAAGTAAGTGTGGCAACACTTTTCCCAATCAAGCTGTCCTGTCTGATTTGCCATAGTCCATTTTTGACAAACATAAATAGCTACTATTCGGTATTCAGTCGAATACCAAAAAAGTGGATTCGTCACATCCCTAGTTTATAAGCCAGTGAAATCCCAAAATCTTAACCGAGAAAAGTTGGAAACAATATCAAGTCTACGTGATGTTCTTCAATTTATCAAAACAAGAGAGCTTTTTTCACGTGGAGGGACAGAGTAGGATCAACTCTAAAAGTCAGTCTCTCTCTCTCTCTCTCTCTCTCTCTCTCTCTCTCTCTCTCTCTGTGTGTGTGTGTGTGTGTGTGCACCAGGGGGATGAAATTTCACACCAAAGAACAACAATGATTTACAGAGACAGACAAAAATACATGAGATACAAGTAAGTTATTCTTAAAAACTGGTTTAATCAAGGAAATGTCAAGCAACATCGTAACACTAACTCACCTTTCTGTAATCCAGTCTTCAGGGCAGTCTGAGGAGCTGTTTCAACCTGTTTGGACAGAAAAACACAGCATTAACAGGAAGGTTTTTCACTTTTAAAAAATAGAGGGAAAATAAACATTTTCATCAATCTAAGTAGTGACGAGTGACCAATGTTACCGAGAATCTGAATTCAACCCCATCTTCGGGGTCAAGCTCTCTGTCTCAAAGTCAGGGAGGGTTAAATCCTAGCTGCCTGTGCTGAATATCAAGTGACAACACACAGCCACATGCTCTTTCGAAAAGACTTCCCACCATTCCCTTGGTACATGACTAAAACAAGAGTATTTTCCTCAGTGTCTGGGAGGCAGGAGAGGAGCTGTTTCTTTGACCAGCCCATGTTGCTATGGACCCCTCCCGCCCCAAAGACATTAGGATAAATTTTTACTTACTATGATACTCAGGTTAATGTAACTCACGCCACTTTAAGACCCTTCCGCGCCTGCACTCACAGCTAAGTTGCTGGGAACCGGGACCCTCTCTGTAGAGAGTGCTACATGGCTCCATACTGCTGGAAGCTCAATACTTGTGCTGCTAGAACAAACTTAGTAAGTCTGGGATATTGCAACAGCACTTTCTTGAGTGTCTTATGAACAGGGTCTTGATCCTACATCAGGAGAGCGAGATCATAAGTTATTCTGCCGATGTATATGTAAAACACGTGGTACTGGAAGACTGAACCATTGAAATAGGGAAAAGATGCTGTTTGGAGAGGTTCCTGTTTAGGCTATGATTGAATTTTATGTTTCTTTAAGGTGTGAAATATGCATGTTGAAACACAATTTGTAAATATTTAAGGATTGTTCTAAGCTTTTTAAAAATTTTTTTATTTTTTTTACAACAGGTAAAAAAACATACAACAGGAATGCTTTTTGTACGATACAATTAGTTGTACAAATATAAAATCTTCTAAACAATCACTGGTATTATTCTACTACTAACTATATATAACACAGTGGCAGTAACAATTTGTCCCATTATTTTTACTCATTCTGTTTATAAATTTTAAACTGACTGGTCACAGACTGAATTTGGGAACCAAGTGGCAAAGTCACAATTTCATTTTGGTAACAAATACTATAGGTTTATTAGACTTGGAATTTTTTGTAATTTTCTAGATATGGAAATTATATGATAAATGACAAGTATTACTGAAATTTTATCTAAATAGTCTCAAAAAATGTTTATATGCTTGTGATACCATAGAGCACCCACAAAGTTAGCTTTTAAATTTGGAAATTTAAAATTGTGAAGATTTTAAATAAAAAAAGTACACACGCTTCCATGGTAAATGGCTTTAAAACATTAAACTTACTGGAACTAATTCTGGATTTGTTTTAACACTTGGTGGTTGGGCTATAAAAAATAAATACTCTAAAGCTGGCTGTGGTGGAACACACCTTTAATCCCAGCACTGGGGAGGCTGAGGCAGGCGGATCTCTGTGAATGCCTGGCCAACCTGATCTATATATCCAGTTCCAGGCCAGCCAGGGATATATAGTGAGACTATCTCAAAACAAGAAGAAAGATTAGAATATTCTGGGGACATAGCTCATTGGCAAAGTGCTTATCTAAAAATGGATATTCATTCACTTTTTAAAAATCAAAAAAATTCTTGAGTTTATAATTTATAGGAGAATCATTTCTAAGAGTTATTTGAAAAGGTCATTTAACATGTATATTACTACATTGATTACACCAGTTGAACACATTCAATCAAAATGTAATCCCCTCCCCACACACTTTTTCCTTGAATATTGTTTCTCTAACAGTCTGATTTCAGGTGAGTGCCATTTCACTGGAAAAATAACATTTCAAAAGATGTGTGATACCAACAGAAAAAAAACAGATCACCTATGATTACCTGCTTCTTAAATATAAGAATATAAATTAAATTAATTTGATTTGTTCAAAAAATAAAAACAATATATACCAGCAGCTTAAACCCAAAATCAAACTTTTAAAAAAGGGAACTCCTTGATGGTTCCAAGTAAAACTCATGAAAACATGAACTTATTGTGCTTATAACAGAAATTTCAAAATGAATGGCTTCCCATCTCCCAAACCTGTTTTCTGTGAGGATGCCTGAAGCACCACCACAGGACAGCTGTTTGAGAAGTCGCCACTGCAACCCACCAGGACAGATGGAAGGATAGTTCAGGAAGGAGGCCAAGGTGGGGAGAATCTTTCTTTGGTGACAAGAGACAAGCCACCACATCACAGATACGCTCTAACTCTCTACATGTAGGAAGCCAACCTGCTCCTTTTTGATCTTCTTCTTTGGCACAACCTCAGTGGATTTCTCTGATTCAGATCGAGTCCTGACTGATCTTCTTTGCTGCTTCTTTTCTACTGGGCCTATGAGATGATTTAAGCACAAACAAAGAAAAACTCATTAAGATTGCCTGACTCATTTGGTAAAGGCTGACCAGATTCCTGACTTTTTTTTTTTTATTATTATCCATTACTGACAGAGTTTAATTAAAAGTCATTAAAAAGCTTTTAAACACTTGGGAACACAAAATTATTTAATAGCTCAAAGAAACTGAGAATGGGCACTATAAAAGATCCTAGTTAAGCCGGGTGGTGGTGGCACATACCTTTAATCCCAGCACTTGGGAGGCAGAGGCAGGCGGATCTCTGTGAGTTTGAGTCGAGCCTGGTCTATAAGAGCTAGTTCCAGGATAGGCTCCAAAGCCACAGAGAAACCCTGTCTCGAAACCCCTCCCCCCAAAAAAGATCCTAGTTACACAAGTAAGGGAGATAATGTTTTAGTTTAGTTTTAAAGTTAGACCAAAACAACAGAGGCATAGTTGACTCCTGAAGGCCAATAAACACACTTAAGAAGTGTGACTCCAGGGACTGAAAGGATTCACACAGGAAGACTGAGTTCAGATCCCCAGCAACCACTTAAAACAGAAATAACAGTGAATAAAAAATGGCACCCATAGATTCATAGGAAGTAGCACTATTAGGAGGTATGGCCTTGTTGGAGTAGTTGTGGCCTTGTTGGAGGAAGGTGTTACTGGGGGTGGGCTTTGAGGTACCAAATGCTCAAGCCAGGCCCAATGTCACTGTCTCTTCATGCTGCCTATAGATCCAGATACACAACTCTTAGCTTCTTCCCCAGCACCATGTCTGCCTGAATGTCACCATGCTTCCTGCCATGATGATAATAGACTCAACCTCTGAAACTGTAAGCCAGTCCCAATTAAATGTTTTCCTTTAAAACAAACAAACAAACAAACAAACCAGAAACAACAACATGGGACCTGGCAGCACACGCCTGTAACCCTGCTGCTGAGGAGTCAAGAGAAGGGCCTCCATGGCTTGCTGCCAGCCAGCTAGAGACCCTGAATCAAAAGATAGGGTGAAAATCAATTGAGAGGCACACCCCCTAGCCTCTATACACATGCATATGCACCTGAGCATGTCTGCCTTCTCTCTCTTTGTCTCCCCCAACACACACACACACACACACCCCACATTGGTTCAAAATTCAATCGCTAGTACACATTTTACACCTTATGTGAGTTTAACAAATTTTATATATATAAACAGCAACAGCATTGGGTACACTTGTATTACTGCTACACCAACCAAGCCAGAGGAAAAGCAGGATGGACACAAACATGTGACCAAATACAACCACTAGCTTGACTATCACACAGAGCTACGGTTGTAACTCGGAAATGGCTACTCAGTTGGTGGAGTGCTTGCTTAATATGCAGGAAGCCCTGCATAAGATCCCCTGCACCACACAAACCAGGGCACTTCGGAGGTAGAAGCCAGGGTCAGAAGTTCAAGGTCATTCTTGGCTACATGAGACTAATCTCAAAAAGAAAAAAGTAAAGACAAACAAAAAAAACTAACCAAGGGACAAATTACTGGTATTTTTCCTATGCTAAATAGCAAGATAAGCTGTGTGTGTGTGTGTGTGTGTGTGTGTGTGTGTGTGTGTGTGTGTGTATGTAGACAGGTTGGCAGACCTGGAACTCATAGATATCCCAATATCTCTGCATAAATGCTGAGATTAAAGGTATGAGCTATCATATCTGGCTTAAGATTTTTAAACAGTACAATTGCTTAAAAATAAATTGATCAAAACTTATGTGGGCCTCATGTGAAAAATAAGAACTGACATGGCAACTTGGAAGAATACCAGGAATGAGTACCTCTGCAACACTACAAACAGCAATACCTTCACTGTGACTATTTGTCAGGTTTTAAGTACAACTGACCAAAAATGCCCTTCTTTGTAAGTGTCAAGTCTGAGCCAGTGGGATGGCTCAGCAGGTAAAGGTGCCTAACACCAAGCCTGACAGCCTGAGTTCCAACCCCAGAACCCACATGGCAGGAAAAAAAAACCGACTACCCAACAATGTTCATCGACCTCTAGCTGTGTACCTCCTTTACAATCAGATAGAAGTGTCTCCCATTCAGCAATTCAGATAACCTTCAAAACTCTGCAGCTCACTGCTCTGGGTTACAAGGAAATGCTTCCCTTTGCCTTAGGTCAAATCCAAAACAAAGAACAATCTCACTACTTTTTGGCAGCCAGTAGTTTGGCAATACTATAGGTTTTTTTTTTTTTTTTTTTTGGAACAGATTTTATTTTTTTTGTGTACCTGTGTATGTGTGTGTGTGTGTGTATGGGGGGGGGGCACACATGCCACAGTGCCAGATGGAGATCAGAGGACAACTTGTGTTCTCTCCTTGCACTATCAGGATCAGTCAAACCGAGGGCTCACTGATGGAGAGTCTCCATAGCCACCTTCCAAGGCTGGAATTATAGGCGTGCTACCATGCTCATCTGCCACTTACATGTGTTCAAGGAATCCAAGCCCCTGGCTACTTGCTTGCTGGCAAGTACTTTAGTTGCAGAGCTATCTCCACAGTGTGGCATCAGATATTTCAGAGCTACAATTAATCTGCTTCTAGCACCAAAGTCACAATCTAGTCACAGAAAGTTCTGGAATTATCCTTTACTCTAAACTTTTTTCCTTAAACTGGTGAGAAAGACAAGAGAGCCTGCCCTCATAGACCAGCTGAGGATTTCAGAGGTCCCAAGCTTCAGTTCAATCATCAATACTCAAGTACTACCTAGAAAAACAAAAATGAAAACAGCTTGGGAACAATAGCAAACAAGCAAGAGAGCAAACAAAACCCAGTTGCTTCTAGGGTGACATGGGTTGGCAAACAATCTGAACTACAGTCACAGAACTTTCTTACCATCCTATGATGTATTGACCTGATATAGCTTGCTTTGTTTTGTTTTTTGAGACAGGTTCTCATGTAGACAGACTATCCTTGAACTGTCATGAATTTCTGATCTCCCTGCTTCCATCTCTCAAGTGCCGGGATCATGGGCATGAGCCAACATGCCAGTTTATGTAGTACTGGGGTTTGAGCACAGGGCTTTGTGCATGCTAGGCAGATACTTTACTAACGAAACTACATCCCCAACCCTGACCTACTTAGTGTCTTACAGAGGGTGAAGCAACATGACTTCTTAAGATTATTCTGAAAGCTACAAAAAGAACAAACACATTTAAAACCACTAACAATTTTTATACTTATTTTCTAAGGGCGAGGGTGGATTTGGAAAGTTATGTAGTAACCTAGTATGAATGTAAATACCATTCTTCAAACCACAGAAATATGTCAGTGGCACACAGTTGAGGTATTTAAGTTAAAAAAAGAGAAAAGGCTCAGCTGAGGTGATAAAATGGCTTCTAAGAGGAAACAAGCGTCTCTCTGACCTTTGGACCACTAAACGTTATTTTTACAAAAAAGTGAGACAATCATTTAAAAAGACAAAAGTATTCTTACCAACCACCACTGGCAACTAAACGAAAACCAAAATCAAAGCTGTATCGCCCATCTCTGAAGATAGATTCTAGTCAAAACTTAGAGCCTAACCTCTATGTGTCTAAGGAAGAAATCCGATTGCCTTTTTCTAAGTTCAAAAAATTAGAACATTCTATTTAAAAAAGAAAACAGGCCGGGCAGTGGTGGCGCACGCCTTTAATCCCAGCACTCGGGAGGCAGAGGCAGGCGGATCTCTGTGAGTTCGAGACCAGCCTGGTCTACAAGAGCTAGTTCCAGGACAGCCTCCAAAGCCACAGAGAAACCCTGTCTCGATAAACCAGAAAAACAAAAAGTGTCCAGTATGAAATGAAGAATTTATTTTCTCCCTTCCTGGGAGACTTTAGGTGTGTAAATAGAGATCTAGATATCTCACTTAAAGTAAGACAAATTAACAACACTACTATAAAAACTGATAGGCCTATTTAAACAGCTGAGGCCAATGGGTTTTACATTTTTTTTTTTTTTGGATAGTCAAAAGAAAGCAAATATTACATCATGGTCAATCAATGCAAAGTTTAAGTCACTTGTCACTTGCTCATCTTCAGCTTCACTAGATGGTGTCTGAAATAATGCAAGTGGCAGACCTGGCTGCCACTTGCTACTCCCTCTGTTCTTTAGTTCAGCTTCTTTTCCCAATTTGATACTGGATAAAGATCCTCTGCTTACTGTGCCTCATTCAACTTGTGCCCAACGGCCTCTGGAAAGATCTTGCCCTGTCCTGTATCCCTCTGGCCTGTTTTTAGAGAGCTAGTCCAAGTATTCCCCCAACAGGGTTTCTCTGTGTAACAGCTCTAGCTGTTCTGAAAATCACTCTGTAGACCAGGCTGTCCTGGAACTCACAGAGATCCTCCTGCCTCTACTTCCGGAGTGCTGGGATTATAGGTGTGTGCCACAAAGTCTTTTTTGAATGGTGGCTGCTATATAGACTTTGTAATAATTCAGATTTTACTTAGATTCAAACTCTCAAAAATAGCCCTCTGTACCCTTCATCAAAGTTTTGCCTGGATTACTACTGGTTCAAGATCTCTATTTCTGTTTTCTGGACTTTGACTCTTCCAGAAGACAATGTGATCACTATATCATTACAATACACTGAGAAGTACACTGTATTGTACAATATTATTTAAAATGTTACATTCATTTATGCTGTGGAATATTAATTTAATGATGCAAGCATGTGTTGCATTCTTTTATGTTTCATTTGTTTATTTCCATGGAGCTGTGTTAATTTGCTTGTCTAAAACACCTGACTGGTCTAATAGAGATGAATGGCCAATAGCGAGGCAGCAGCAAGGATAGGTGGGGCTGGCAGGCAGACAGAATAAATAGGAGGGGAAATCTGGGAAGAGGAGATTGAGGAGCAATTAAAAAGGAGAGGAGGACATCAGGGGCCAGCCACCTAGCTACACAGCAAGCCACAGATTAAGAAGTAAATAAAGGTATATAGAATAGAGAGAGATAAAAGCCCAGAGGCAAAAGGTAGATGGGATAATTTAAGAAAAGCTTGCTAGAAAGAAGCTAAGCTAAGGCTGGGCATTCATAAGAAAGAATAAGCCTCCATGCGGTTATTTGGGAGCTGGGTGACGGTCCCCACAAAGAACAAAGTAAAAACAAACAACTACAACACTGGGTCAGTGAGATGCTCAATGGGTAAAGGCGCTTGCACCACGACTGAGCTCAGTCCCACTGTGGAAGGACAGAACCCACTTCTGCAAGTTTCCGTGACCTCTGCGCACATTCACAGTACCATACATGTACCATACATACAAATAAATACATGTCATTTCTTAAAAAGGAGACGTATATATTTTGTCTCTGCCCTTCATTCCTAAATCCTTTCTAATTCTCTGGGTAGTATGAACGCATATTTGTCCTGTTTGGTCTCTGACCTAGTTCTTGGCACAGAGCTGCAAAGTAAATGCCATGGATCCGTCTTTACCCTAGTGTGACAACTCCTGATGGGCTGCTAGGCAGAGGCTAGTCACTAGAAAGTCAAAGCCACACTAAGTTTTTAGTTCCAAGCCTGAATTCCTGCCCCAAAGGGAAGATAAGCTGGAACCTAAATTAACAACAGGCCATACCGATGTGATGAGGCCTCCTGAAACCCTCTGAACTATGGCACTAGAACTTTCAGATAAGGACACTGGAGGTGCCTGGGAGGGCAGAGAAACTAAAGTCCTCTGTATTTGTTGTCGGGAAGTCTCTTCATCTGTCTGCACATCTGTATCCTCTATGGCATCTTTAATGACAGAGTGGTTAAGCTTCACTGCAGTGCTTACCTGAGTTCTGTGAGCCACTCCAGCAAATAACTCAATCAGAGGAGTAGTAAGAGCAACCTCAATGTGCAAACTGTTAACCAGAGACTGAAGACAGGGTCACATAGTGGGTGAGGCCAGAAGATCTGGAATCCAAAGCCAGTCTCCTGTCCTCAAAAAACCCAAGTCTTGGAGCCTTCTGGAGTCTATACTGAGCCTAAGTGTGTGGGAGCTGATGCTGGTTGGGACAGCAATTGGGAGGTGGGAGCAAGGGGTAGTGAATTCAGGGCCAGCCTGGACTTCACAGCAATACTCTACCTCCAAGAAACTAGAAGCAGGTAAGTTTAAACCTGAAGGGTCTGACAGTGTGAGAAGTGATCAAAAATTGAGGTGACACATGCTTTAACCCATAATAAGGAGGCAGAAGCAGGAGACATCTGAGTTCAGGGCCAGCCTAGTATACACAGTGAGTTCCAGACCAGTCAGAGCCATACAGTAAGACCTTGCCTCACAAACAAAAAGGTCGCTTAGCAAGTGTCTAAGAACTGGTCAGTATGAGGAAAAATCATCCACTCATCTGGGTCACAGGAGTGTGCAAAATGGCCAATGTATGTCAGAATAGAAATCATTTCTTAGAATTTAAAATCTTTCAAAGAGCAAAATAAAATAAGCTCTTATTTCTAAAATAAGATTATAAATGCCGGCTGGAGAGATGGCCCAGAGGTTCAGAGCACTGCCTGCTCTTCCAGAGGTTCTGAGTTTAATTCCCAGCAACCACATGGTGGCTTACAGACATCTATAATGAGATCTAGTGCCCTCTTCTGGCCTGCAGAGATACATGCAAACAGAATACTGTATACATAATAAATAAATAAATCTTTAAAAAAAAATGATTCTAAATGCCCAAGCTTATTAAAACTTTCCTTTGAACTTAGGTCAGTTTGCATACCAGGCAAACAGTCTATCACTGACCTATATAAAAGCCTACAGGGGTGTGGAAAAGTTAATGAGACAGGTTCTTGCTCTATAGCCCAGGCTGTCCTGGAACTTTATATACAGCCCAGCTAACATGGATAAACAGAGATCCTCCTGCTTCAGCCTCTGAGTGCTAGGCAACCACCACCTGGCTCCCACCCCACTGTAGGGCTTCATTTTGGCACAAGGTCTCACTAAGTTACCACACTGGCCTTGGAGTTGTGATGCTCATGGCAGCCTCTTCAACTGAGATTAAGGTTCTGTTTTTAATGGTTATGTGAAGCACTACTATAGAAATAATATTCATGTATCACTCATATAGTACTGTTGTTATGACATAAATCTACTAGACAACCAGTTTAGACTAAGATACATTGTAAGCCTTTTTGAAAAATAGCTTTAGATTGATAAGATGGCTCAGTGAATGCAGGCGCTTGCTGCCAAGTCTGATCTGAGTTTGATCCCCAGGATCTACCCTAAGAGACTAACTTGAATAGGTAGTCTTCTGAGATCCACACACATGCCATGTCACAGCATGTGTGCATACCTCTGTGTGTGTGTGTGTGTGCGCGCGCACGCACACACACACACACACACACACACACACACAAATAAATAAATGGATGAATAAAATTAAAATTTTAAATCAAAACATAGCCTTAAATCTTCCAAAGGTGCAACCTTATTAAATACAGGGATTCTTCTACCTCTGCATTTGTTTTGTTGTTGTTTCCTTTCTGTTTTGTTTTGCAGAGCCCTGGCAGGCCTAGAACTCGCTCTGTAGACCAGACTGGCCTCAAACTCACAGAGATTCACCTGCCCAGCTACCCACTCCCTGCTTCAGGTGTTTCCCTTTTAAGGAAGAATAACACTGCTCGGTTTTCAGCTCCAGGTGTCTGCTGACCAGAGAACAAGTCACATTAAGAGTAGCTAGGTCCTGGGTCTCAGAGCTACTAACACTGCACACATCTACCAACAATTTTGTTTCCAATAGAGGATAAAGAAGCAAACGGTGAGGGTGAGAATGTCTGCTACTGCTGGAAGAGTAAGCTGTTGTTCTACAAAAAGAGAAAGGGCCTAGACATTCATATAATTCATAGCTTCGACCCCCCCCCTTTATTTACTTATTTATTTTGAGCTGGAATGTGGCTGGTTTCTTTTGGCTGGGATTACATGCACACTACCATACTCAGCATAGAATTTACAGCTATACTCTCTCTCTCTTTTTGTTTTTGTTTTTTGTGACAGGGTTTCTCTGTGTAACAGCCCTAGCTGTCCTGGACCTTTGTAGACCAGGCTGGCCTCAAACTCACAGAGATCCACCTGCCTCTGTCTCCTGAGTGTACAGCTATACTCTTAATTATGGAACTATCCTAGTATTTAAATTCCTGTAGGGAAAAGAACTATGAATAAAGCTCTCTAGTTTGCATTCATTATTTCCCACTAAAATGATTGCTTTTAACATCAAAATCTTTTAATTTTATGTGGATGAGTATTCTGCCTACATATGCCTACATTCTGCCTACATATATGTCTGCTTGTGCACCATGTGTGTATCTGGTGCCTGTGGAGGCCAGGACAGGCGTTAGGTCTCTAGAGTCACAGAGCTATCATATGAAGCAAGGATTCTCACTATGAAACAGCTATGTGCGTGTGCCATCATGATCTGTTTTCATTCATCGAGGTGCCCCTCGGTCATACCCACCTGCAGAACCAGATGTCGCCTCAGGAGATGACGAGTTCTGAGCTGGCTTCTCGTTTCTCTGACTTGGTGAAGAGATTATAAGCCTGTCTTGCCCCCTGACACTTATTTCTGTTTTGTTACCAATTCCCTTTAAAATGAGGCAGAATAAAAAACAAGCAATTAGCAGGTACATAGTGTCATGAGCTTAGAAAGATGGTTTAACATAATCATAATTTGCTCAAACTTGCATTGTCAATTATGATTAGTCGTTATCAGAAATATTTTATTAAGTCATCAGGATATATTTTAAAATATACATTGAGATTACTTGAAAGAAAAATGAAAACTATTTGCCTTAAGTCCAGGTGTTAAATGCCCTTAATAAATGAATTTGCATCACCCCATTTTCTGTCAAAAACAAAGTAATCCCTGGTCTGAACAGTCCCTTTCTTTATACCACTGTCATTTGGTGAAGCCATCTGTTACAAAGGTAGAAAGGTCAATGTGTCTTGAGATGAGACTATCTTTAGATAAAGAAATATGTCATTTATGTTTACAAAATGTGATCAAATAGGTCACATGGAGCAGACATCAGGTGCAGTTAACTTAGGTATTAATTTAGGTATTTTTCAATGTAATGAAATAAGAACCATTTTAACTGTTATATTTACTTTTCAAAAGTTCAATTTGTTTTAAAGATTTATTTTCATTTTACATGTATGAGTGTTTTGCCTGAATGTATGTGTACCACATGCATGCCTGCAGAGACCAGCATGTGGTCTTGCACCCTCTGGAACTGGAATTATAGATGGTTGTGAGTCATCATGTGGGTGCTGGGAACCAAACCCAGATCTACAAGAGCAGCAAATATTCTTAAGGGCTGAGTCATCTCTCCAGCCCCCAAAGATCAGTTTTATCTTGAATTTCCTTTAATAGTTGTAGGGGGTATTTTTTCATACAGAAGCAAGTAAAACTAGCTCTAAGAATAAAGGCAATTTGCATTCAAACAATATGCAAATGTTGCTATCAAAAGAATCACACTGGGGCTGGAGAGATGGCTCAGTGGTTAAGAACACTTGCTGCTCTCCAACACCAATGTTTTGGGGCTCACAAATGCCCAAAGCTCCAGCCCCAAAGGATCCCAACACTCTCTTCTGGCAAGGAATGGAAATGAGGAAGAGGAAAGAGAGAAGGAGGGGAAAGGAGAAAGTAAAGGAAAAAGAAAACGGAGAAGTCAAGTGGAGACTATACTTTATAAACTTTTGGGGGGAACTGATCCGTATTAAAATCAATTAAACCCACAGCAGAGACAGATTAACAGGAAGAAACCCTGAACATTTCTAAGAATGAAACATCCCCATATATAATCAACTATTTTAATGTGTGTATGTTAATGCAGAAAAAAGCAAAGAATTCCATAATATATACACATGCATGAGATGCAACTAGATCAAAATCACACCCAAATTATAGAGTGGATTGTGAGGTATGTACATATTCTAATGTTACAAAAAATTTTGACACCTTCAAGCCAAGACCAACTGCCTTAAATGGAAACCCAGAGATTTTTAGTAGCTGATCTATACCATTAATTACCCTTTTCTCACCACAATTCATTATAGGACCAACATATTAGTGAAATGTCTCTAAAACTCAATGAGATATCCCAACCTAACAGGAATCTAATCACCAAGCTGAATGTGCCCTTTACTCAACAGCTTTTAGCTAGATTAAAAGACAGCCTGAGCAAGGTGTAGGTACAGCTATTAGGAAGAGTCCTGGCCTAGAGGCATAACCAGCCCGTTTTATTTTTTAGACAAGGTTTTGCTATGTAGCTCAGGCTGGCCTTGTGCCTCTGCCTTCTGAGTGCTAAAATGACAGGTGCAGACCACCAAGCCCAGTCAGAGAACTCACAATGTGCAGATTTAAGGACATGCAAGAAATCCTCACTAAATCTGAACTCCAACACAGCAGCCACATGAGGCTGACCTGAAATGTGGTTAGTACAGACAGAGCTTGTCTAACGTGCATGACCCTAGCACCAGTTGCACGGGCATATCCACAATCCCAACACTGGGAGGCAGAGGCAGGAGAATCAGAGGTGCAGAGTCATACTAAATTACATAGTTTAACGCTCCCCTGGGCTATATAAGACACTAGAGAGGTGGGTGGAAGAGGATAAACATTGAATTCCAAAGACTTAGATGAGAGAAAAAAGTAGGAAAACAGCTCACCAACCACTTTGTACTGACTACTTATCAAAATAATGTTTAGGCACAATAAGTTAAATGAACTGTGTAGTTAAAATTAAAACAAAACTAAACTAAACTAAAAAGCTACTGCCGGAACAACCAAACAGATCAGGCACAATTATTCCAGTAGTTTTTTTTTTTTTTTTATAACAATTCAGATAAAAGAAGATTTTTAATAAAAATCATATTTTACAACAAAGAAAAACTAACTCTACAAATAAGAAAAGGCAAACTGCCCGGTTTTTCCATGACTTTCGGAGCTAAGTAGGATCCTGGCTCCATTGCTCAAGATTAATCTACTGCAGATGTGAGTGTTACACGAGGGAAATGGGAAGAACATAGCTTCTTGCCCAGAGTAAACGGGGATGCTTCAAATGTAGTGGATCCAAAGGGCATTTAAATTACATTCTTAACTGGTTGTTTTAGTACCATTCCCCAAACCCCTAGAGAACAAGAGGTACCTTCGTGGAATAAACAAACTGATCAATAAACTTCCCATCTCCTGTGGCATTCTGAAGAGCAAACACTTGTTCAATTTTCACAACTGGAGACATGTTACACTTCTGCAAATCTAGGCTCCCTTTGTGCATTGTGATGGAAGCTGGTAAGGACTTCCTTGCGGCTGCTGTTTTCCAGGCTATTTTAACAGGAGGTGGCTCTTCCTCTTCCACACTTGTGTGCCGCCTCTGGCTTTGTCTTCGAAGGTCAGTACTTGATTGTGAGGAGGCCACCTCCCCAGCATTGGTCTGTTCTGGCTGACTATTCAGCATAGATCTTGGTCTTCGGGGTTTCTTAACTTCGGTCTTGGAGGTAACATTCTTCTTTGCTTGGGATGAAGCCTCTTCGGGCTGCTTGTCAATATAGATGAACGTGTACTGTTCTACTCTTTCTTCTCGAGTCATTTTCAATGCTTTCTCTGCATGAGCGATACCAATGTCCCACTGGGCACGTTCTCTCTGAGGCCGAGGTTTCCGAATCTTTATAAAAAGATAAAGGCATTATGTGAAATTTTATATATATATATGTCCAATAGGCACATTAAAACCAACATGTACTTTCTAGGCACCCTGAATTTTTTTTTTCAAGTACACATAAATATTTTCAGATTCTCCAGACACATAAATGGAATGTGCTGATCTCATGACATTAATAAACTAGTATTACTCTATTAAAATGATGTGAAGGTCTATTCTTTCTATTTCTTTGGTGACTACTCTGCTGCAACACCCCAAAGAGTTGTCCTTCCACATCAGTATTTACTGAACGGTAATAATGGAAAAGGAGAAACACTACAGCAATGGTTTGTTTTCAGGGACGAATAAACACAAGCACTGGACATGCCGTGGCAAAGTTGCTATTCCTCCATATGTAGGAAAGTAAGTCAGGTACTGTGGGGATCTCGGCAAGGCTTGCTGCCAGCCAACATTTGGAGATGTGTGGTCAATCTATGCCAATATGCAAACAAGGATTGGATGAGGAGAAAGAAGAAAACCCAAGGAAGCGGCACAACCAAGAAAAGCATGTGTGTAGGGGGTAAGGTGGTGGGTGATGAACAAACCCTGAACAAACCTTTCAATATGGTTGAGCAGAAGAAGAGTCTGGGCAGGCAGGAGGGTAAAAAAGCTTTCAATCAAAGTGTGTGAGATGACCAGAGAAACTAACTGAAAGTGATGAGCAAAGCAACCAAGAACCGTTCAGACAGGGCCAGTGAAATGGCTCAGCAGGTAAAGGCACTTGCTTACTAACCATCCTGGGGACCCACACGGCAGAAGGAAAGAAACAATTTCCCCAAGTTGTCCTCTGACCTCCACATACACATCGTAGTATGTGAGCTACACATATATACACAAAATAAATACAACAATCGGGCTGGGCATGGTGCATGCACCTTTAATCCCAGGACTCAGGAAACACAGAAAGGCAGATCACTAAGAGTTCAAGACCAGCATGGGCTACAAAGCAAATTTTAAGCCAGGCAGAGTTAATATTAGGGAGACCCTATTTCAAAAAAGTAACAACAACAAAAAAGTGATAATAAAAAAAAAAATTTAAGAATCAGACTAGATGGTATAGTATATGCTAAATGTTGACTAATCTTTAAAATATAAGTCAGATAAAATTAACTAAAATCCTCTTTATATAATGAAATTTGTTTAGTCCCAGTACTTGGGTCTGGGCAGGGGCAGGGGCAGAGGCAGGCAGATTTCAGTGAGTTTGAGGTAGTTTCAGGACAGCCAAGGATATAAAGGGAGACCCTGTCTGGAAAAACCACTCCCTCCCTCAAAGAAAAAAGAGTGGGGATGGGGGTGGGTGAGTTCTGTTCTTCTGGAAGACCAGAGTTTGATTCTCAGTACCCACAGCAGGTAGCTCACAACTGCCTATCACTCCAGCTGCAAAGAAGCTGATTGCTGTTACTGGACTCTGTTTTTTGTTTTATTAAAAAGAAGAAAAGGAGGAGGAGGAAGAGAGGAGGAAGAGAAGAAGTAGGATAATTCTTTAAAAGCCTGTGATAAAACTTGGTGTTTTTGCTGTTGGTGGTTTAAACTCACTGGACTTAAACTTAGAGACGTGTCTGCTCCTGCCTCCTATATGGTGGGATTAAAGGCACGTGGCATCACTCCTAGCCAAAATGTAGCTTTTAAAAGTATTTTATTAGAAATTTCTGAACTATAAGAGACCTACATTAACTGCATGATATACTTGAAAAATTTATCTTTATGAAACCTAGCACTAGGAACAATGCATATATGCAAATAAAATAAATAAAACAACCAAACTAAAAAATAAATAAATAAAAATCAACAAGACATACTGAGAATCCGTTTCAAAAATCTAAATATCCATCACCACTTCAAATGCATTGAAGTTCTATAACTCTTGTTCTATTCCCTGGTTCTATAACTCTTGTGGCCTGAGCTGGACCAGTAACTGAAGCCTTCTGTACCTCAGTTCCCTGATCCGAAGAAAAGTATGCCTTATTGGGATTTTTATGAAGATTAAATAAGTACATCAATACTTTCAAAAATACTTATTTCACAGAAGATACTAGTTAACTTTTTATTTGGCCTGATTTTGGTTTTTGAGATAAAAGTTTCACTGTGTAGCCTAAGCCAACTTTAACCTAGACCCTCCCCTCCTGTGTTAGCCTCCCAAATGCTGATATTACAGATCTACACACTCCGGGCTCTTATCAAGTATTTTTAAATCTTTGATAAAATAACTTTGTTAATAGAATAAAGAAGAATTAAGGGAAGACACTGATACAGAAAAATTACTTAAACTCTTTAGCAAAATAAACATCACTAATGCCTACTGGATTTGTACACATCAATTCACAACAGATTATAAAGTTGGTCTTTGTTTTATGAGACAGGATCCCATGTATTCCAGGCTAGCCCTAAACTCTATGTAGCAAAACTTGAAGTTCTGATCCTCCTGCCTCTACTGGACATGCAGCCAGGTCCAGTTTATGTGGTACCAGTGGCCCAAGCCAGGGCTTTATGTATGATGGCAAGTACTTTACCAAAGAAGCTACAGCCTCAGTTCTGACCCTTTTTAACAGTACTATAATATTATAGGATATACAATTATTTAGTATGTTTTTTGAGACAGGGCCTCACTACATAGCTCTGAATGGCCTGGAACTCACTATATAGACCAGGTGAGCCTCAAACATTGAAGTGATCTGCCTTACTAATGAGTGCTTGGATTATAGACACATATCATTATGACCAGTTATAAAATGTGTTAATGGACAGTGGGGATATAGGTGAGCAGCAGATTGTCAGTCATGGGAAATACCCTGGGTTCCATCTCCAATGTAACAAACAAAGCAAACCATGCAGAATAGGCTTTCAGTTACCTTTTGTTTTTCAGAGTGATTGCTGGCTTGTTTGGTTGCCTCGGCTAGTAACTCTTCATACTGTTCGTGACCTTTATACTCCCGTACCCGTTTCTCATGAACCCATGCCCTCTCTGGCTGGTTGCTAAAAAACTGGACATGATATTCCCGGGCACCTGTAAGTAAAAATTTATATTAATTATGTTAGCACATAAAAATCCACATATAATTTGCCAGAAGGACCTTGGAACATAGTTTTCTCATCATTTTTTCCATTAAAACTTGAACATTTTAAATTGCACAAAGATATATTACAACACTCAGTAACCTCGAAACTAATGGCTACTATAAAATCATTTCATATGATTAAAATCAGGGCAGCAAGTTTTAAGAAAAAGAAAAATGTGAAATTCTGCTAATTGCCCCATTTATTACTTTGATTATATAATTTTTTTTCTTGTCTCAAATATTTTTACAAATTAGAATATAAATACACAATGTTTCCTTCCAAAACTATACATGTTTCCTTGGACTTTTAAGAGCCAAGTCCTGTGACCCCTATAGTACTGTCATAATAATTATCACTGATTTCTCTTTTACACTTAAGACACAAAAGCAATAGCAGATAAAATTTATGGCACCCCAACACAAACACTACACAGAATGATGCCCAGCTACTGGGTGCTTCACTGCCGCACACTGGAACTTTTTTTTTTTTTAATGACAGTTTTATGTGATGTCCTTGAGAAATCAGCAATGACTTACTTAAAATGATTAACTTTCCTGAATTTCAGCCTTGAATTTGCAACTCTTTAATACTCTGTGCAGTAAAAAACCATGAAAAATTAACGAGACACTTCTGCATCCTGGACATCGAAGGCTGCCTTAAGGGAAGCACTAATTATGGTCATCTGGTGGTAAGATGGGATGTCACAGTCACTAGAAAGTGTGCCTTTCTGCTGCTATTCAAACATGAGAAGGTGGCAAGATGTCTCTCTAGAATGAGCTCCTATTTCAAGGAAAACACATGATTTGTTATCAATAATACAGCTTGATCTTTCAGGTAATTATTAGAATTTTAGAAAACCTGCCTTTGCCTCTCTGAGTCTGCTTACTTTCCCAGATCAAAGAACTTCTGAGAAAGTAAGTGGTGATTTAGAAAAACATCTAGCTAGGCACAGTAGCACACACTTTTAATTCCAGCACTCAGGAGGCAGGTATAAGAGGATCTCTTTTACTTTAAAGTCAACCTGGTCTACATAGAGAGTTCCAGGACAGTTGAGGCTACATAGAGATACTCTGCCTCAAAAAGAAAGAAAAAGAAAAAAAAGAAACTACAAAGGAATCTGTCAACATATGAAAGATCTACATGACTCACTAAAACAAGAATTTTTTTAATTTTATTTTTATTTATTTTTTGAGACAAGGTTCCTCTGTCTGTCCTGGCTGTCATGGAACTCACTCTGTAGACCAAGCGGGTCTCAAACTCACAGAGATCCACCTGTCTCTGCCTCCCTGGTGCTAGGATTAAAGGCATGTACCACCACTGCCAAGCATATGAATCATTTTTAAAACAAACAAACAAACAAACAAACAAAAAAAGACTAAGGGTATAGCTCAATGTCAGAGCTCTTATAAGGGGCCCTGGGTTCAATCCCCAGTTCTTCTCACCCACAAATCTAAAAACCAAAATAAAAAATAAACTAAATCCTGAAGACATGAAAACTTACAAAGCAAACACATATGTCTCAGAATATAAGACTAAATTGTCTAAACTTTCTGTCACAGGTTGAATGTGTATTAGAAATGTCTTTATATAGGAGGAATAAGGCAGGGGCTGAGATACTCAGGGTTGAAGAGTACTTCCTGGTCTTCCAGAGGACAGGAATCTGTCCCCATCCAGCACCACATGAGGTGGCTCACAACTACCTGTAACTCCAGCTCCAAGGGGAATCATACCCCAAGAATCTTGGTGGCCACCTGTACTCAGGTGCATATACCCACACCTAGAATTTTAAAATAATTTTTTAAGAATCTTTTTTAAAGTAGGGGCTAGAAAGGTGCAAAGCAGTTAAGAGCACATTGCTCTCGCAGAGGACTACGGCTCTGTTTTCAGCACCACATGGCAGCTCACAGCCATCCATAACTCCATGGATGTAACACTATTTTCTGGCACCCCCAGGCACCAGACATACATATGGTGCATATACATACAGTCAGGCAAAATACTCCGACACATAAATATTTTTAAGTAAAACAATGCAAAGATAAAGCTATATATTTTAAACTTTAAAAGGCTAACAAGTCTCTCTGAGTTCTAGGCTAGCCTGGACTACATAATGAATTCCAGGCCAGTAAAAGCTGCATAATGAGACTCTGCCACAAGAAGGGACGAAGGAAGAGGGAAAGGAGAGAGGATGGAGGTGGAAGGAGAAAGAAAGCATGCATGAGGGATGAGGCTAAGACCTGAGAAGATGGCTCAGCAGATATAAGCACACTTGCTGCACAGGCATGAGGATCTGAGTCATATCCTCAGCCCCCTGGTGAACATTCCAGGCATAGCCTCAGCGCCTATAACCCAGGCCGGAGGAAATGGACACAGGACTAGTGGGCTTTCTGGCCATCAGATAAGCTCCAGCTGAAGAAATGCTGACTCAAAGGAATAAGGTGGAGAATGACAGACAGATAGCGCACATCCTCCTCCCTCCTCTCAGTGTGTGCACAGGTAAACATACCTACATACATACAGAGAAGAAGTAGGGTTACATGACGCAGTACTCTGAGAGCATGAGGACCTCAAGTTCCAGGCTAGCCTGGGCAATATAGTAAGTGAGATACTTCAAGAACAAAATCAACTCCCTCCCCGGAAAAACCTCATACCAAAGACCTTCATTTACATGTCTGCTAGTTACAGAGAGAAAAAGAATTACCTCAAAATTTTCAAAATTTACTTTTATTTTATAAATACCGTGTGTGTATGGGTGTTTTGTCTGCATGTATGTCTGTACACCAGTGCCTGGTGCTCAAGGAGAAGAGGACATCAAATCCCCTGGAACTGGAATCAAAGATGGTATGTAGGTGGAACGAATTGAACATGGGTCCCCTGGGAGAGCAGCCAGTGCTCTTAACTGCTGAGCCATCTCTCTAGCCACCCTCAAATTTTAATAGTATTTATACAAATGTAAGAAGAGATTATGGATACCTGTTAGTTTCTGTATATGCTCAGAGATTTGCCCTTCCCAATCAATATACAGTATTTTTAAAATGTAAAAAGCATTTAATTTCAACTTAAAATGAGAAGTAAATGATGAAATACAGTTTAGGCCTCAATATCTTTCAACACACCCTTGCAAGGAGTTATTATCTTTTAATCTGTTTACTTATTGTTTTTTTTTTTTTTTTTTTTTTTTTTTGAGACAAGGTTTCTCTGTGTAACAGCTCTAGCTGTCCCGGAACTCATTTTGTAGACCAGGCTGGCCTCAAACTCACAGAGATCCACCTGGCTCAGCCTCTTGAGTGCTGGGATTAAAGGTATTTACCACCACCATCCAGTGCAAGGAGTTATTATTATTAAGGTGTAAAAATCATTATATACGTTGTCCAGTGCCAACATGTGACTATTAATAATTGCAAACCAGTGGCTACTAACTACAACCCATATAAACTGCACACAGTAGCTTAGATACAGAGCAGCACAGAGTGCTGCACAGGCATCATGTACACAACCAAGTCCCTGTCTCTGTTTCCAGAGATGCTGTGAGATTTCTACGTTATTTACAACTGAATTACCTGGCTGTAACAGGATACTAATTGGCAATAAAAAGTGATAAAATACTGATGCATGTTAAAACACGGATAAACTTCTAAACCATGCTAAGTGAAAGAAGCCACTAGACTGGCACAGACACAGAGGCAGGGGGTTCTTATTGACTGCTCAGCCTCCAGGGTGTGTGGGGAGTTCTGAGTGATAGGTAAAATTCTTAAATTAGATTGTGGTGGGGTAGTACAACTCTGAGTGAACTTTTTAAAAATCACTAAATTCTGGGCCGGGAGATGGTAGTACACACCTTTAATCCCAGCACTGGGGAGACACAGACAGCAGTTCTAGGCCAGCCTGGTCTACACAGGGAGTTCCAGGCCAGACAGAACTACATAGTGAGATCCTGCCTCAAATAAACAAAAATAAATAAATAAATAAATAAATGACTAAATTTTATATTCTATGAATATTTCAATAAAGTGATTAGGTTTTAAAAGATTAAAGACAAAAGAACATTTATGCTTTTAATCAAAACATGAATGATTTTTAAATTCTAGATTCTCAAATCACTACTCGTAACATAAACAAATTTTCTAGCACTAAGTAGGAAGCACTGGACTAGTGGATGAATTAATGAATTAAATGTGAAAGCTCCTGGGGCTGCAGAGATGACTCAGTAGTGACAAATGCAATTGCTTTTACAGAAGGCCCAAGTTCAGTTCCCAACACTCTCAGGAAGCTCACAACCGCCTGTAACTTTAGCTCCAGGGAATATGAGTCTCCAAGGGCACCTGCATGAATCTGTACATACCGCCCTCCCCAACCCCACGTGCACAATCACAAGAATTTAAAATTTTTAAGTAATAAATCTTAGGCGGACAGTGGTGGTACACGCCTTTAGTCCCAGCACTCGGGAGGCAGAGGCAGGTAGATCTCTGTAAGTTCGAGACCAGCCTGGTCTACAAGAGCTAGTTCCAGGACAACCTCCAAAGCCACAGAGAAACCCTGTCTCAAAAAACCAAAAAAAAAAAAAAAAAAAAAAAACTTAAAAAAAAGTAAAAACTCCTTATATCATCTCAAAGCAATGCTTTCTTGAGAGAACTGAAGAGCCATGACTCTTGTGCTGTCATTTTAAAGTTCTCAAAGCCTAGATATGGACAGGAATTGTTTTATTTCAGAAGATTTAGTCTGTTGGATAATCCTGCCCTGTTCTTCTACATTGATAGAGCTATAAGAGTTCCAAGGTCCTTCACAAACTCTGACCTCTCAGGCCAACCACCTCTGAGTTATGACTGCATGGATTCAACTGCTAAGAGTTGTAGAGCAAGGGTTACACAGTAAGATGATGTGAGACTACTTTTCTGAGACAGAGGATACACCTCAGTGTAGTTGCTGTGAGAACATTAAAATGCTCACTAGGTAGATAACAAATGTAGCTCAGATGACAAAGTGTTTGTCTAGCATGCAAAGAACCCTGGGTCCATTCCCAGCACCAATAAAGCAGCACATAACTATAATCCCAGCAGAAGGTAGAGGCAGGAGAATCAGAAGTTTTATGTCATCCTCAGCTACATAAGCACTTTTGAGTCCAGCCTAGGCTACATGAGACCATGCCTCCAAAACAAACAAAAAAAACTTAAGAAAATGCATAGCAAACCACCCAATACAGTACCTTGCATAAAACTAGACAAACAATATTGATTATTTTCATTCCTGCCCCCCCTTTTACTCTCCCAGTCTTTAATCCGCACACACTGCCAAAATGAAAGACCGTAACCCATACTACCTACTATACTGAGACAGATTTTTAGCTAAGGGTCACCAATACGGTGAAACCCACAAATATGATTTGTTAGATTTAAACAAATATTTTTTTTTCTCATTGATGGTGAACAGGTATTAGGAAGAAGTTTAATACAAAAAAAGAATAAGATACAAAACTGTCACAGATAATGAAGAACTCAACACATTACAAAAGTGAGTTTGCAGCCGGGCGTTGGTGGTGCACATCTTTAATCCCAGCACTCGGGAGGCAG